ATGTAGAGTTAGACGTAGTGCCTCTCACAATGAAGAAATCATTACATGAACCAGGACAGTTAAGGGCTTTATATGGGAATAAGATTAGTAATTTGCCTAAATTAAACACATTGCATGTATATTGTGACGGTTCAGTTATGTCAGGGCAGGGTGCGGGATCCTTATAAGACAGTACACAGAACAAGGAAATGATGACATCAAAATTGGACTTCGGTTGAGCAGTTTTATTTCATCAACACAAGATGAGTTATATGCAATGTTAGTAGGATTGGAAAATGTTGTAAAGAGGTATAAAGATGCATATTTTTTTGTTGATAGTAGGGCAGCTTTGGATTCTTTGAACAGTGGGAGTCCAGTCTTTGGACACATTATTGGTTCATGTAGAAAATTAGTAAATACAATAAGGAAAAATGGCCATAATGTTCAATTTGTATGGGTCCCTTGGGGATTGATCTTAATGAAGTAGTAGATATAATAGCAAAAAGAGCCACGGAAAAGGCCGAGATCGACGTAATATGTACTAAAACCTTGAAGCAATTAAGGAGCAAATTACGGAAAATACAATCAATACAAGATAATTTCAAAAGGAATGAAATATACGAGAAAAGTGAACATTACCATCATGAACACAAAATTTACATATGGGAAAGATAGGAGTAGGTGGAAAGATTCAGTGTATATGAGGTTAAGATTAGGATATAAATATTATTGGGAGCTGAGAGAAGTGAACAGGATAAAGAATGTAGAGTTTGTAGAACACCCAGATCCCACATTATATACTGGAATGCCCATTGCTTAATGTATATAGAAATGCCCATATAAATAATGTCCCCATGCAAATAGAGTGGATGTTTGGAAATGGGAAAATCGATGAAATATTAAAGAAATATAGAAATTTTGCATCTAGAATATAACTATGTATTATAACTAATTATATGAAATATTAGGGATTTATGTGAGTCCTGAGAGGGACATTCCTGGACTGGGGATGACTTATGTCACTTCATCCCTTTAAGATGTATTAATGTTTTTTGTATCTTAATAAACGTATCAATCAATCAAAACCTAGCGAACGTTGAAGTGAGCGTGAAATATGTGAACAGACCGCCGGCACACCAGCGACATTTATAAAGCAAACATCCAAGTGATAGGTATGTCATGTGAACAGCCCAACCTAATAGTTATTTAATTCTTGGAAATTTGTCTTCAGGATTAGTTTTCTGCACAAGTATTAATACAGTGGTAGTGGTGGTGGTGGTGGTAGTATAATGGTTATTGAATTCTTGTGAGATTGTGAGGGTGTTGTAAACAAAATACTCATCACCAATCAACCACAGTCCTCCACTGAAGTGAATCGAATTCAGCGGCTGGAGGCGTGGTGCCGCCCCTTCCTATAGCTCAGCTGGCGGTGCCTAAAGAACCTTGGCGGCGTCCAAGGACTATCATAAGGAACTATTACTCTTGCGGGAATAATTCAATCTGTGGTGGAATTCTGTCGATTGAGAAATTATTGGGCAGGGTTTTTATCCATGTGTTTTTATCCTGAGGAGAATTTTGTCTATGCGCCACAATATCGTGTAAGCCTCCCCACTGCTATGGCTTACATACCATTAGTTCATGAAGAATTAGCATAATATATATACATATGGGTTCGTACCCTCTCAACCTGTTACTCCTACGGCCCACCCTCCATGGTCCCTCCCTCCCCTTCCCTTCCTTAACCCTGACCATAACCGGATACCCTGGTGGCTTATATCTTAACCACCACCAGATAACTTAGCTACCCGGTGCTCCAGTGAGGATTTTCAGCTTCTCGCCCTCAGTTACGACCGGTGTGTGAGGGTCGTTCAGTGGCTGGATTCTCAAAAAGTTCTTTCATTTAACTCTACGTTCACTAGGAATAAGGGAACGCATTTGGCTACGGTAGAATTATTAATATAGTTTCAACACTAATTTACCAGCCATTTCTTAAATGTATATTCATTCTCAGATCTCTATTTAAAGAGAAGGTATAGTTACGATTTTTTTAAGAATCCACACCCCGGTTTTTGTGAGTTCGGTGTAGCCTCTCCTACTTGTAACATCTTTAATAATTGTAAAGACCAAAAGAAAACAAAACTATCCAAACGAGCATAACCACACATCATTATCTGGAGAGAGAGACTTGTGCTCTCAGCTCGAGGCAGTTGCGTGTTGTTCATGTCAACATTACAAGAATCAGCTCTCGTGGTGGAATAAAAAAAAATTATTAAAGAAAGTTGTCAAAACACTGACCTGGTCTTATCTTCAGAGAGGACTAACCACATAGCTACAAGGTATATCCCGGTACACAACTTGTTTACTTGTTTCTTCTGTTATTTAATAGACAAGCACACACACACACGCTCATTAACCATCCAGTACAACCTATTATTCCCACTTGTACAGTACTTAGTGATTTTTTTTCGTTACACAGTTACTCAAGAAAAACACTGTTATATCAAGCGGAATACATTATTTTTGTCATATTTTTTTTCCGTTTTGTGACGCCCGTCTGTCTGTCCGGCTCGTAATTTTTGGTTTCCGAACTGTGACGCTGTTTCCACGCATCACCGATCATGTGACTGCCGGGGTGTTCACTGCGAGAACCAAGATCCTAATGTGGAGCCCATCCACCTTTGGTCTGGGCTGGTTCAATTTACCACTTTAGTGAAATACTGTACTGTATTGTTTTATCTGGTATGAGAAAACTTATAAACGACCCAAGTCAGCCTGAAAGCAGACAGTATCTACTGTATATATTCACTTCACCGCGTAAGAATCATCACTGTAGCCTCGTTTGATTGATTTGTTTATAATTTGCAGTATAGGAGTCATGACCTTGATTTTCAGGCTCAAATCCGCTTTGGACAGACAACCTAAATATTTAGCGAACACTCGGTGAACTGGCTGACACTTCTTCTTTGATTATATAATTTTTTGCACAGCTGTAGCCTAAATATATATGTATGTGTGAATTGTGCGCGCTAAGAGTGCGCGTGATTAATAGAAGGTTTCTTTCTCACGCCATAAAGATAAAATCACGAAATAAAAAGGCTGGTTTGGGGCAGTGTGGCCTGCAATGCTCGCCACCTCCACTTCCCCAACTGTAAGTTAGTTACCCATTCACACCTGGGTGAACTGAGGGCGCCCGGGTGCGTACAGCCAACCCAGAGGGGTACCCTGTATCCCACTCGGCCGCCTCACCCAGATAAAATAATAAACGCAACATTTAACCAATAAGTTTAATCAACTTCTAAACTTAAGACTAGAGATTAATATATGAAAAACGCAAATACTCCAACTGCAATAACAATAAGAATCCTTAATTCAACATTCATTCTTCAGCATAGCAAAATCTAGACTTACCGGTTCAAAAATATACCACTATTGTATTAACAAAAACACAAACTCCCCCGAGACCACATTACGACACACCGCAGCAGAATTATCGCAAGTCGAAATGGAACATAACGGGCCAGGTGAAGATAATGACAGTTATTGACGTATTATCATAATGAATGGCTGGTGACGGAGCATGAAGAGCTGTGTGGCGGTGTGGATATGAATTCATGACTACAAAGGAACACATTGGGTCACTAGATAAGAGGAGTGAATGTGAATGCCAAGGCCTGGGTGTGCCATTTCTCGATAAATGGATGGAAAATGGATTTGTCATTTAAATGTGAATGGTTAGGGTGTGTGTGTGTGCCTGCACATAGATAAGTCACCGGAGAATGGATGAATAAATACGCTTGTACTGCACTTTGCTGGCTCTCTCTGCTTTCTACAGCTACCTTGTGCCACTTAGTAATGACATCAGACAGATAAATAAATAGATGAATGCTTGCGTCTGTGTGGGTATATCACTATAAGTACACGAAGTTATGTCAACTGAAGGTACACTGTCCCTTACGTTCATCGTTCTTTAGCCTATTTATATAATTATCCATGACGTTCAACCCATAGACGGAAGCTGCTGAATTATGTAAGAGCACTGATGTACTATATTCGGCCTACGTGTTATGGTGGTCTATGTATAGTATGCATGTATGCAATATAATTATGTACGTGTTAGGAAGATGAAGTATAGTATGTATACGCCCATATATCCATTATGTTAAACTTGTGTATGTACTAGTTTAAACCTTTGTATATAGTCACAGTATATGCTGGACGTCAGCCTATGAATGTGTTGGATTTATGTGAATATTCATATTGGGATCACTTGAAGATTAGACACCCCAGCTTATTTCATCCGAAGGTCAACCACTCTAAAGTTAACCTAACCTAACCAACCTCCACACCAGGTACCATTAAGTCTTCAAGTATAAGTGTTGACAGACTTATTTTTATGAGAGTACAGATTTATGTGTACATATGTGTTGTGCGTGTACGTGGTGTATGTATGTACGATGTGAGTGTATTTAGGTACGTGTATATTAAATTACGCACAGTGCCTCTTACACCATTACCACCGCCACAAGCACACCATTATTACGTTACCATCACAATCAACTCCACCTAACACACTGCCACACGATCACTATTGAAATGTTACCACATCTCGACACACTAAAGTAACCACAAGCTTCTCTACATTACCACAGCCTTCACACAATACTGTTATAAAATAAAAGTATGTTTAGACAGAACTTCAAATTATTATTTTTTTCTGAAAACGTTTGAATGAGAGGCGAAAAGAGTTTCTCTGCCAATTCACCATTTTTTCTTTTAAAGAATAAATGTCAACACAACTTAAATAATCTGTAAATTACAACATTACAAAATTCTCTTATTTTAATGTGAAGATAAATCAAGGAAGGGGCTGACCTCAAACACGTAATATATTTTCTGAAGATAAATAGCAATACACTGTTATCGATCATTCTCAACCAGCGTCAGACTCATACCTAAATAATTCAGCCTTCATGTAATCAACAATGAGAGTTTTTAAAGGAAGCGAAAGTAGTAGTACTTACCATGATAACAGTAGTGTATGGTAGTCCAAGATGCTAAATGTACGTTTTATTAAAAATCTTCCACCTAAAGCAGTATAAACAAAGTCACAAAAACACCACAACAACATATGTCTTCTTCTCTAAACACAAATAATTATCTATCTTCAATATTATCACCACTAAACATTAAACGAAACACTCATCCACTGAGAAATGTTGCTTCTATCCGCCCGTCTAATAACCACGTCCTCTACCACCACACTGAGATCATCAACAGCGAGGAGGCCTTACAGGGACCTCCATCCTGGCGACCTCTGGCAACACTTAACTATCCATTCGACCGTTTTCTCTTGTTAAGACAAATGCATTCTTTTTTACATGCAGTGTAAAATATCGCCCAATATATTTACTTTTATATCTTAACTTAAGATTCTACTTTATATTATTCGAATGTGATGAGAAATCATCTTTATATATTCGTAATAGCAGCACAACTAATTCTTCTGCAACCGTTTTCTACTGTCGGTGTAAGGTTTCCTTTTGCAGACTTGTAATAAATTTATAATGGTATTTCAGCACCTTTGTTGGGTAGTCTCTGTTTAGCTACCATAATCTGAATTAATTTGTTGTATAAAAGTCCAGTGACGGTTCCTTGTTTAGGTTCGGGAAGATGTCCACGCCCTCCCTCCCTCCCTCCCTCGGCCACACTCGAGAGTGTTGAAGGTGACAGGCCACAAGGATGTCTGTATTGTATGATCATTAATTCGTTTGAGTTTAATTTTGTTAAGTGTTCCGTGCACTTTATTTTATATAATACATTTGGAAGAAGATTTTGTCAACGTATCTTTCTGTAATGAAAAAAGTTCATGAGGTCATGAATACTCACTGACAAGACGGCTGCTGTTACCGCGTTAGATGACTCGGTTTTAATTTACTTAGTCAAATGATTTGGTTTATATATCCATTACTAATAATGGCTCGAGAAAGATCAAGACTTATCGATTAACTTGGAACCACTAGTGGTTTGACTGTAATCAAAGAAAGTGTTGACGACAGGTGAAATGCACTCTCTCTCTCACTCATTAGGTCCCAGTTTATTTTATTAGATGTTTATTCTAACAGATAATATACGTCAACACAATGAAGCCGAACACTTACGGATTTCTGTAGTGTACATTGATGGCGTGAGAGGCAGCTATTTGGGTGACACTAGGCACGCTTGCAGGACACCAAGCCAATTGTACTGTTTCCATGTACGATATATTTGTACACTTTTATAGATTCTCTCTTCGGAAGAAACAATTTTAATCAAGAACTACGTAATCTGATACTATTGCAAAATGAGTAGAGTACTGTTCTTACGCAATTAATTTGTTGACTCAAAATAGGCTTGATTTCCAAGAAAATTAAAGTTGAGTGTAACATTATGACCCAGGTTTAGTGTAGCGGGTTTTGGCATCACTGAAGCCGGGGTCCAGCAGAGCGCTGAACCCCTGATCAATAGTTACTTCCGCGCTCTCTGTGTGCGTATGGTGAGGTCCGGGAATGCGTATTATTGGATTTGTTTATGCGTACAATTGGGTTTGTGTAAGTCAGGGTGTGTACCTACTGCTAGATTTAAGTGTAATTTGTGTGATTCATTATGATAGTCAAAGCAATTTATTATTATTTAAACGTTATAATTAGAACACTACTGCAACGTTTTTCCCGTAGGGCAGAAGTTTGGTTCCAATAACGTTTCATTAAACTCATTAAAGCAAAGTTCCAGAAACGTGGAGATAAAACTTATGCACACAACTATGTCTAATATTAACCTAAAGTAACGGTAACATAACATAATAACCCTAACCAAACAATATTAACCTAACACAACCTTAAATCATTCACTGATAATAACTTGACTATACTGTACTGTGATAATTGTTTATTCTTTTTTTCATAATAGAGATTATTATTTGTGTGGTAGATTTAGGAGCGTAAATGAAAGCATATGTTCACTGTAAATAATTTAACCATGACTAGAAAAGTAGAAGGAAATGAATACTACAGTTGTTGTAGTTTGACCTGGGGACGATACGACACATCCAACAGTGCTGAGAAACACCACGGTTGACACTCACTAGCCAGATGTACTGCTGTAGAAGTGAGGTTAGAGCTACAAGTAATAATAACTGTGGTTGATGTGACTGTAAGGTAGGTGATCACTGGTTATAATGATAGACTGCTACTGGTATTAGGAGACTGGTGGGAGAGGAGTATTTCTCATTCCAACATGAAAAAGAAACACCACCCACACACACACACCACTATTCAACTGTTTAATGACCTGTGAGTAGTATTTTTTTAAGGGACAGTCAAACTGTGGCTATTTCATTTAATGTATGGTAGTGTTTCAGTATGTGTGTGTGTGTGTGTGACATTCCGCATGAAAAATAGTGTTTTTGCTTAATTTTCCGCCTATTATCAAGTTTTATATGTTGATAACCACAAGGAAAGAAGAAAACACCAAGTTCCCAAGCGCTTTCATGTAATTCACATCTTCAGGGGTGAGTACAGACTGTACTCACCCCTGAAGATGTGAATTACACGAAAGCGCTTGGGAACTTGGTGTTTTCTTCTTTCCTTGTGGTTATCAGCATATACCTAGATCACGCGCACCTACAGTGATTTACTTGCATATATATGTAAGAGTTAATGTTTTCATGGGATTAGGCACCTCGGTCCTGCCCTGAATATATTATGTTGGCAAGAGGATAAAGTGAAGCACAGTGAAGTAAAGCACAAGCTCATTAAGTAGTATTACAACCAGAGAACCCGATATAAAAAGCCTACCCCGGAATACACTTAAATTACGCAAATATAAACATAAATCACCAAAATTAACCAAGAAATTAACTACTTTTTAAGGTATCACAGGAGAAGAACATTTAAAAACCCCGCCATTGGGGTAGTTTAAAAGTAACATATTTTGAAATTTAATTAAACTAGCAACTTAAATGTTATAGATGAAAGGTCAATATTACATAAATTATGGATATTTATGTATTTAATTTATTTTAAAATTATCATCAGCAATTCATTTTAATTAAATAAAACTATGAGAAAGTACAAGGCCTTGGTGCGGCGGTTTGTTTTGGTCCCACAATCCTCAGCGTTCTTCTCCCATCAGCTGCGAAGGTGAGGAACGAGCTGCTCCACTCCTTTACACCTTTCTCTCTTTTTTAACCATAAGTAACTCAATTGCTCCTCAAATACAGGGTTCAATATATTTTTAAACACTAGTAGTAGTGGATAGTTGACATATATTTGTTGTATCTTAACCCTGTGAGAGGATGATGAGTGATATAATACAGGACACAGGTTTTCAGAGAGGAACGTTATCATTCTTGGGTTGTTTTTATTCTGTTTGATTTTAAATTGACGGTAGAGTATAATTAATTATGATAAATATTACCTTCAATGTTGACAAAATTGACAGGTAGATAGATTTAATGAAAGTAAAGGTGAAATACGGTAGAAAAGGTGATTAAGAGGTAGTTGTCCACATGTATCCCCGTAATGTTAGGTTTAGGCCTATGGTCCCTTATCAAACATTGAGGATGAAAACAAATTAATAATGAACTGGGTAATAGTTTATGACGTTTAAGCCCCTTCGCAAACATCTAATGGGAAGGAATTATTCTTAATGTATCTAGGAGTTTCTCTGCCCTGACCACCCTGGTGCTAGACGGTGTATCCATAGGTTGTCTGGGATGCTGCCCAACACTACTGCCTTATAATGAATACCAGTGATGAAATGAACCATGTCAAACTACCTAACTAACCAAGGTTGTTAGGTTTATTCGTTTTGTCTGATGTATAATGTAGCAGTAACTAAGAAAGTTTGTGGATGACACCAAAATAGGGCGGCAAATTAATTCAGGGCAGGATGCAAATGCATTACAGGAGGATCTAAATAAACTGCAGGAGTGGTCTGAAAAATGGCAAATGAAATTCAACACCAGCAAGTGCAGCGTACTTAATGTATACAGCCTTAACATCAACCTAGAGCAGTCGACTTGTGAAAGAGACCTAGGGGTACTTGTAAGCCCGGACCTACGGCCTAAAAAACAGTGCGTTAATGTTCGAAATAAGGCAAACAGAGTATTGGGTTTTATATCTAGAAGTGTAAGTAACAAGAGTGCAGAGGTCTTATTGCAACTATATCTTGCGCTAGTTAGGCCACACCTCGATTATGCGGTTCAGTTCTGGTGCCCCTATTATAGAATGGATATAAATTCACTAGAGTCGGTGCAGCGAAGAATGACCAAAATGATTCCGGGACTTAGAAACCTTCCATATCAGGATAGGTTAAAGAAACTTAACTTGCATTCCCTAGAAAGACGAAGAGTGCGGGGAGATATGATAGAAGTATTTAAGTGGGTGAAAGGAATCAATAAAGGAGATATAGATAAAGTTCTTATAATATCCGAGCAGGATAGGACTCGGAGCAACGGATTTAAGTTGGATAAGTTTAGGTTTAGGAGGGAGATAGGAAGGAACTGGTTCACAAATAGGGTGGTGGACGAGTGGAACAAGCTTAGCAACTTTGTAGTACAGTAAGTGCTGGAACTCTGGAAAGTTTCAAAAGGAGGCTAGATAGATTCATGGATGATAGAGAGTGGTAGTAACTCTCGACAGGAGCTGCCATGCACAGGCCAACCGGCCTATTGCAGACTCCTTATTTTCTTATGTTCTAAGTCTAGTGGGTAGCTGTGCTGTATGCTTTGGATGGAAAAGTTTTAAAAGTATTTTCAACCAATTTGTCTCGTGATGTTTTATTCTATTTTAATATTGAAAACCAACCAAACCTAAAATTAATAACTTAATTAGCAGTGTGGGGTCCAGGAACTGGCTCGAGAGGCTGAAGTCTAAACCTGTTGGTTGAAAATGCAAAAATACCAAACGTGAATTCTGTAATTATTCGGATCGTGACTGTTTGCCGTTTTTTCATTAAAAATGGGTTTACAAATACCCAGTTTTTACTTATTTTATTATAGGATACTGGATTATGTGAGGAAAAAAATGAAATCGTGTGCGAACCTAACAAATCCTAACCTAACCTTTTTCTTAACTTGCCTATATCTATATTTAGAAAATACGTATTTACACAAGAAAATTAATAGAACTGAAAGTAATCAATGTAAAAAACTGTAAAAAAAACACCCACCATAATTACTGATCTTGATGGTTATTTGAAGGAATGGCCTTATATTTCCTGCACTAATGCATGCTGAATGAGTTATGACCATGATTTGTGTAAGTCGGTAGGGCTTTGAAGATGTGGGGTTAAAACAAACAAAAAGCCATTGAAAGTCTGACCTAACCTTTCCTAATCTGTGATAGTCCTCCTAGTCTTATAAATAAATACCTGCCTTACATGAGGGAGGTGAAGTAACTTATAACAGGAAATGATGGAGAATTGCATTGATGTTTTTGTTGCACTTGAAACAAATATCTTGCAAAATATAGCCAATAATGTTCCTTGTTATTTCTTGTAGGGTACCCAACTTTTAATGCCCTTCCAAAGTTTGACCATTGTTTTGTATATGAATGCCAGTCTATGGATCCACAAAATGTACACTGATTCACCATTTTGTGTGTAAGAGTTAACCAAGTGTATTATATACCCTCTATAAATGATATTCCCAGGGTTTACAAGACGTTGAATTAAGATAAACAAGTTTCAGCGCTCCGGTCACGTACAGGTATAATAAAAAAATATATATATATATATATATTTTTGTCTCTTGCCTCCATGTCATCTAATTCCCAAACTCCTCTGACCACCGTGGTAGCTACAGTATATTGATTTCCCGAATTTACTTTCAACTTCCACAACAATACCAGGCCTTCCAATTTGTTCTTGGTCACCTAACAAGTTCTTCCAAGGCATTAGGCATAAATACAGAAATAAAAAAATAATACCAAAGAGTATATATGTTGTGTTGTCAAAGTAAGAGAAACAATTGAGACGCTGCAATTGTGTATAAAGAGGCAGAAAGTCTGTCAGATCCGCAACCTGGGACGTCACAATTTAGGTAAAGAAAGAGGGAGATGTGAACTTGTGTAAAAACAAAGACCCTTATTGGTGGTTATGTCTCTGCTTTGTGTAAAGAAGCTTGCCAATGACCTCTACACAATATCAATAAATTTTGCAGTTGTAGGATGTTTCCATGTTTGTTGCCCTTAAAGTAAAAGGGGTTATATTTACTCCTCAGATGCAGATCTTCGTGAAGACCCTAACGGGTAAAACCATCACCCTTGAGGTGGAACCCTCGGACACTATTGAAAATGTGAAGGCCAAGATCCAAGATAAGGAAGGTCAGTTTGGTTCAGTGCTTTGTAGTACAGTATCCATACACAGTGCAGTGAAACCCTGATGTAACAGACATACTTTTCCATATAATTTGTTGGGGGGGGGGGGGCTTCACATCTAACGGACACTCAATATAATGGGCTTTCATCTCTGTATAGATTGCTAGCTCTTAATTATTTTTAAGCTTATATATATATATAAAATGGGTGGGAGGTATGTAATATGTTTGGTTTTAGTGCATATAGGGCATATTATGCAGCCTACCTTTCACTTAAAAGTACAGTACTTTATCTATGTAGGTAATGTATAAAGTGTTCCTAACTTATGTGATCTCGACAGGTATTCCTCCCGATCAACAGCGACTCATCTTCGCCGGAAAGCAGCTTGAAGATGGACGCACTCTCTCAGATTACAACATCCAGAAGGGTATGTCTAGCTTGTGTGTTTTGTGAAGTGAGCGGGTAGTTTATGTAATGTAATATTTATTATACCTACATCGGTCACATCTGTACCAGCAGTCCTCGAGTTACGACACCCACACTCGAGGAACACGTCCCGGTACAGTGTTTAAGTAATTTGTTACGTAATGGATATTATTGTTATTAAACATAAATTCTGAGTAAATTTTACCTCAATCTAGAGAACACGTGTCAAAGATATCAAACTTGAATAACTTGTTCATGCCTTTTTGTGTATGTATAAAAAATTATTAATCTTTTAAAATATATCTACAGAGTCGACTCTCCATTTGGTTTTGCGTCTGCGTGGTGGTGTAATTGAGCCTTCCTTGAAGCTTCTGGCAGAGAAGTACAACTGCAATAAAATGATCTGTCGCAAGTGTTACGCTCGTCTCCATCCAAGGTGGGAGCAACACGCTATAGATGGGTTTTATAAGATGGCTTTCTCTTTTTTGACTAAAATAGAGATTTCAGGTACAGGATGTGTATTTGCTCAATTCATGAATACTGTATCCTTATTCCTTAACCCTTTCACTGCGATTCCCGCCCTTTATAATTTTATTCTGGCTTCTGCCAAACTTTTATTCAGCTTAGGGAAACCACCAACGGCCATAGGCTGTTGAAAGCGAGAATATAATTAAACAAAAATTAGTGTGAAGAAGTTGGGTAAGGAGTACAGTTATGAACTGTATTGTATTGTCCTTTTCTTCAAAATAAGAAAGGTTAATACTTAAGGGGAAAACAAGGCTTGAGATTCCCTATGAACTTTTGTTCACAGGAAAGGAGTTCAAGTAATGATTAAGAAATATATAGAGTGAAGAAGTTAGGGAAGTGTATGGAAGTTCAGTCAACTCTAGTTTTTTTTTAAAGACAACAGATATGTGTACTGTACTCCTTCCCCCCCCCCCCATGACCGACCGCCTTAATGCAGGAATAATGCCACTATATACATTTAGTTAGATGCTGGTGGATCTCCTTCAAACCAGTGAGTTCTTGGTGTGGCTAATTTTTAATCTCCAGAGACCCCTTTCATATTATCTACTTCTAGCTCGGCCTGTCAAATATCCTTAACTTGGGAGAGTTGTAATTTCGTTTTTGTGAATTCTAGTCTTATTATGATAGTAAGTACAGTACAGCAGTCAATAGACATGATAGTTTGTTTGGTAGAGAACATTTGGATATGTCTGGTAGTAATGGCTTTTTTATTTTTTCCTGTGCATGATGAGCTACTGGAAGGTTCCCTCTTCTGAGGTGTTTTACCCGACACAAAACTATGCTGTGAAATTTCCATCTGAGGTTAGGATTTTGTTGAACTTTGTTATCGATATTTCCAATGGTTTTTATCAGCTCTCGTTTAATTTCAGAGCCACAAACTGCCGTAAGAAGAAGTGTGGACACACCTCCAACATTCGCCCCAAGAAGAAGATCAAGGGTTAAATTTTGTGTTGATAGAGTTTATTACTCATTAAAAAAAAGTGGAGATGAAATACTATTAATTTTGTGGTTGAATTATCAAATAAAGGAAGTAAGTCTCCAATACAGTAATTTGTTTTAATTCATTGACCTTGTTAAGAATGTATGAAAGATAAGTTACATTTTAACTGAAAGAAAGACATAAGTAAGGAGATCAGATAAATGGAACTACTGTAATTAATGTGGCAGACAAATAAATCTAGAACAGAGTATAATATAAACTAGTACTGTGCAGTAACTTTGGAACACTGAAGTTTAAATGACAACATACAGCACAGTTTTCTAATACATCATGGAGACTGGTTTATGGTCAGTTTACACTTGTGCAGGTTAGCTGTGATTACATGATGGCAGCTCTCCATGTAGTAGTCCCTTTCAAGTCTGTTTTGGGGTTTTTAATGTAAACCTCATAACCTCTCCTCCGCGCATTCAAACATGCATCACTTGACCCAGCAACCCTTGGTATTGTTTTTTGTTAATTTTCCCAAAATAAGTATGAGAAAGTACTGTACATGTGCCAGTATGTTATGAAATGCTTAAATTAATGGATAATAAGTAAAACAAATTCTAATAAAAGCTCTTCTGTTATATTTAGTGAAGAAACATTATGCAGTAGTCTGACCTGACCCGACCCCTCCACTATGAGAGTGCTGACTGGGTTACCTGTCCTCCAGAAAATTTAGAGGCACATCTACAACTGTGTACTGTAGTGTTTACAGTACTGTATCTGAAACAATACCTGTTTCATTGTACAGCTGATATTAAACTTTAAGGTGGAACCCCAAACCAGAGGAAAGATATAGTACAATACTGTATAGGTATACCTATACAGTATCTTGTAAGACATAAGAACATAAGAATGGAGGAAACTGCAGCAGGCCTATTGGCCCATACTGGGCAGTCCTATTTACACCCAACCCCTATTGCTCATATAAGCATCCAACCTATGTTTGAAGCTATTCAGCGTATTTGAGTTAATGATGATATTTGGTACCTTGTTCCATTCATCCACTACTCTGTTTCCAAACCAGTGTTTACCTATTTCACGCCTAAATCTAAATTTGTCTAATTTAAAACCATTGTTACGAGTTCGCTCCTGGTTGGATAGTTTGAGTACCTTTGTTAGCCCTGACTTCCACTTATACACCTCTATCAGGTCTCTCGAGGGAGTGCAAATTAAGATGCTTTAACCTGTCTCTATACTCAAGGTTCCTAATGCCCAGGATTAGTCTTGTCATTCTCCTCTGAATTCTTTCCAATGATTCTATGTCCATTCTGTAATACGGTGACCAGAACTGAACTGCGTAATCCAGGTGTGGTCTGACAAGAGCAAGATACAGTTTTAGGATGACCTCGCTAGTCTTGTAACTAACACTCCTTTGTATGAACCCAAGTACTTTATTAGCCTTGTTATGAGCAAAAACACATTGTTTACTTGGCTTAAGGTTCCTACTTATCATTACTCCTAAATCTCTCTCGCAGTCGGATTTCTCTATGGCATCATTGTTCATCTGGTATCTGGTTTCCCTGTTTACATCTCCTATACTGAGTAATTTACATTTGTCCACGTTGAATTTCATCTGCCATTTTTCAGACCATTCGAAAAATTTGTTTAGATCTTCCTGTAGTTTTGCTGAGTCCTCGTCAGATTTAATAACACGTCCTATTTTAGTGTCATCAGCAAATTTACTTATATTGCTGTCTATGCCGATATCTATGTCGTTTATGTATATAATAAATAATAATGGTCCAAGTACTGAGCCTTGGGGAACTCCACTTGTGACGTTGCTCCAATGGGACTTAGTGCCGTTAATGCTCACTCGCTGTTTCCTGTCCTGTAACCACGCCCTAATCCATTTAAGGATGTTACCTTTGATGCCATGAGCTTCTACCTTTCTAATTAGTCTTTCGTGGGGGACTCTGTCGAAGGCTTTGCTAAAGTCGAGATATACCACATCATAATTGTGCCCCTCGTCCACCGATTCGAAAACTGATGAAAAGAATGTTAATAGATTAGTTAGACAAGAACGTCCGCTTGTGAAGCCATGCTGGGAATCATTGATCAATCGGTGCTTCTCCAGGTGATTTCGAATAGAGTTTGAAATAATTGCTTCCAGTAATTTGCCTACTACTGATGTTAGACTGATTGGGCGGTAGTTAGAGGATAGTGATCTATCCCCCTTCTTGAAAATCGGTATTACATTCGCTATCCTCCAGGATTCTGGTACTACACCTGTTTTTAAGGACATGTTAAACAACTTTGCTAAGGGCATACTAAGCTCTTCCTTACATTCCTTTAATACTCTGGCAAATATCTCATCGGGACCAGGTGCCTTATTAGGCTTTAGTTTGTCTATTTGCTTACTAACATCGTTACTAGTCACTACTATCTCACTTAATTTGTTTTCTTCACTCTCTCTGAATAGAGTCGGTGCCTCGGGTATCATTTTTAAATTTTCGGTGATGAAAACTGTTGAAAAATATTTATTCAAATTATTGCTCATTTCTCCGTCGTTATCAGTGAGCTCGCCGGTATCTGACTGTATTGGTCCAATCTTTTCTCGTGTTTTACTGTACAGTAGTTAGTTATAACAACAATTGGCTGAGCATATCTGGGAAATGCCTTGTCAATACTAATGTGTGAGCTGTTGAGTGAAACACTTAGTGGCTTGAAGTGGAATGCCATACTCACTTTAGTTGACAAGACTGCAATGGATGGAGCAGAGGAAAACATAGCCCAGTACCAAGGTGTTTACATTGAGTGGAACATAGTACAGTAGTATGAAGTCCTAAGCTGACTTTTAGAAGTAAAAATAGTGGCAGACTTAGTAAATGTCTCTTGTAACATGATATAGGGAAGGGTAAGAGGCAGACTTTGGGTTAAAGATCATGGTTACCAAAATTGATATCTATGAGACTACATGAGGGGCTACCTTGCCTTGGTCTGACTTTTCTGGTGAGTTGTAGTTAATAAGTTCCTGAGTGACCGTACACTGAGCCTTCGGCACTCAAGAGGCACGTGACTGGCCCTGCACTCAACTGCCTTCACTTTTGCCTTCCATAAAGTTGGGTACAGATACCCATCAACAGCTGGGTAGACATGAGACACCCCAGACATGAACCAACAACCATAAGTTGATTGCTGTAAAACTAACAAAGCCGCTATCCTTATGTACAACTGATAAACTAACAAAGTATTGTGATTTTGAAATTGAAACGACTACAGTATTGAGAGCAGAGCTGGAGTGTAACAAACCAGAATGCTGTTCCGGTTATCTATTTTTTTATAAAATCGTTCCTGCTGTTAGAACTACTTTAGCAGATGGTGATCCTGCTTCTACATTTAAATTTTTACACAATAAGGCAGTGATATAGGTAGTGTGAAGATCTACATAGGGGTGAAAGTAGCACTACAGTAGAAGTAGTGAACAGATAGCAAGAAATACTGGTGCTATAAAAACAAATAACACCATTTCCCACATTCTTACCATTGTAATTTGTACAGCATTGGACTAAAAATGGGATATCAAACCTGACTGTACCACTTGGTAATTACTTACAAAAAGATCAAGAGTAATTTTTTTAGATTTCATGTGCAAAGCTGACAAATCTGCTGACACCTTCACAGAGTGAGCGTTGTCAGCTTCCACCAAATGGCTAGTCTGCTGTATTCAAATTGTATCTTTAGTAAACTCTAATTAGCACTTGTAACAAAAAATAAGTAGGTAAGCTTTATCTACTTACTAACACTGAGGACTGCATGACATGGCCAAAAAAACCTTCAGGAATTAGAGGTGCAGCAGTAATCTCTAAAGTTGTATGCGTAGTACACACAGGAACCACCTGATGAGTGGGAAGGAGCAACTTGGAGTAGATGTCTGACAACCATCAAGGATAACTCAACCTTGTTTACTAAAGGGAACGCCTGTGCTGTTACTCTCCTGTGAGGGTGATGGCTGTTAGGGAAGACACACTAATACTAACATTAAAGTCAGGTCACTTTAACACAGTTGTGTACAGTACTGAAGAGGGATGGGGGTATTAATGGAGATAGATCTCATAGTGATGATTACATCATATCTGTACATTTTCTGATTTGGTCACATAAATCATTAATGCAGGTATATACAGAACTGTACATATGCATAAACTCCTAATCTGAGAATAATGTACAATAACATTTACATATAGGTACAGATATTCTGATTTTCATCTTACATCATTCTGCACCCAAGGAAGAGTCTGGATGAACATGAAGGTCTGGCTGAACCTTAACAGGTCTTCCCAGATATAATAAGATTCCAATACCCAAGATATTCAACGACATCATACATATTACTGTCCGCCAGCCTCCCGCTCTCTCAACCCAGCCGCGGCTGTTGTACTGAAATTGTCTGAACCTGAAATGTTAAAAGAAATATCCTTAATACAGATGTTTGTATTTAACTATCAATATGGTCATTTTTGTCAAGACAAAAAAAGTGAAATATGGTAAAGGCAAGTGAGGTGCAAAATTTATTAAAAAAAAATATATACATGTACTGTATATATTTTTCATTTAACTGAAGCTTTCACTATGACATAGACACTGATTTTACCATAAGACTAAAATACCAATTATACAATAATAAAACTTACTTTATGAACACAACACTATACTAAACAAGTTACAAACCTGAAGTGTTTGAGCCAAGGAAGAGGCATGTGTTGACTGTTGTGCTGTTGTTCGTACTGGCGTCGGCGTCCATACAACTCCGAGAACTTTTCCCGTACCTCAGTTGCCAATTCTAAGTTACATGTAAGAATAAGATAAATACAGGTATTGAATTACAGTTTAATCCCCCATATAATGGACGCCCCTCAACTTATAATCAGTGAGACAGGGTTTCACATTTAATGGACCCTCGATATATTGGACTTTTACCTTCATATAGTTCTTTAGATAGAGGTTTCACCGTACTAGGTCAATGTATGCACAGTACTTACTTTATGGACTACAGTAATAACATTATGAACATAAGGTAATGTTTAGTTCTTATGTTGTAAGAGTTATGTTTGTTCTCACTCACTGGGACAAGGCATGCACTGGCCAATTATCTGCCTGCACATAGGACAGAGTGTGTGGGTGGGATTTGGTCGCGCCAGGCGTCGCAGACAGGGCTCGCAGAATATGTGTCCACAGGGGCGGGCAACGAGAGGACTGTACAGCACGTCCAGACACACGGGACACTTTAGGTACTCAGGAGGTTGGTCTTCATCATCTGTGGTCACCTCGTCTCCTTCATCCTGTATACAATAACAACAACAACACTTTACTGCTACTTATAAGAATGTACTGTCAACTGCTAAAGTCCTCTCCCCATGAACCACAAACCCCGAGATTCAGGCTCACGATTCAGAAACGTTTATGGACAGAATAATGTATCAGTCTACTGCTTTGGGTTCACGGGTCTTAATTTCGAGGTTCGTGGTTCAATGGGAGAGGTGATTCGGACTAGTAGTTGACTGTACTTCATCCTGTCTCAGGCTTTTCACACACTGGTATGCTACAAAAGGTGTGTTACTATACCTTAATGAGGAAAACACTCATTATATATACAGTACAGTATGTGTGATTGTTATTATGTTGTGGAATACTCTTGATGGGTTTATGGTCGACTTATTCTGTGAACTGCAAAAAGTACAGCAATATTTAGATATATTGTACTGTATACCAATCACTTCCAACCAATTTTGAATAAGTAATAACAACTGCTTAATTATAATTCCATATTTACTTTATTCATATTCAGACTACAGTACCGTACAGTATTATCTATAGTCTCGTTACTAGTAACCAAGATACTATAAACCGTCTTACCCAAACAATCATGTACAGTAGTACTGTACCTTCGTCTAGCCATTACCTTCCTTACAGTACGTGTTTATAATATTATACTGTAAAGTCACTCAAAAACTATCTCTACTTGGGGTCATCGATGAATTTCAGAATGAACACTGCGACTCCTGTTGTCTCAGTAGGGCTGTCAAATCCTTTGCCCATTGTGTCATATTGTCTAGACAAAAGTTTGTAAAGATAGTTTTTTAAAGCAACTGTACAGTGATTCTTTAAATTATGATTTGTAAATCTTTGAGATGTTACTTTGTAGCTTGTACAGACTACCCAGAACCCCAAACAAGGCAAGTGTAATAACAAGAACTGTCTGGCTACAGGGAAAATGCTGTTAACTAAGTACTGTACTGTACAGTGCAACCTCCATATAACAGACTTCTCTCTTCATATAATCTGTGAGGGGCGGCGGCTCATATCTCACGGAACTTCGATATAGTGGTCATTCATCTCTTTATAGTTCATGACGTAGACAGAGGTTTCACATCTCACTGAACTTCAATATAACACTTTCATCTCTGTACAGTCCGTTAATAGAGGTTTCACTGTACTGTATTGTATATACTACAGTAATAAATAAAACTGTATCCATATAAAACGAATTATAGCGTGTTTACTAATGCCTCAGCTCAGGTATTATAACTGTACCTCAGTTAGTTCTTCTTCAGCTAACACTTGGAATCGTGATGATGACACAAGCAACTCTTCATCAGTGGAGGCGCTCGTTACTGTTGTGTGATCATTTTCAGTTTCCTCTCTGGCCTTACAACGTCTACGTCTTGTACTATGTCGTCCCGATTCTCTTGCTTCACCACTTTTATATATTCCTTTTTTTGACTTTGAGGAAGTATCACTTAAATCTGTTTTGAAAATGTGAATGCTAATTAATATGTTAAACTCCAATTTATTATGAGCAAACTCTTCACAAGGAATCTTATAATATGTACTGTTCACATACAATAATATATCACCTCACAGTTTACGATAATCTTGAAATGACATAAAACTGTGATTAAAATTCAAACAGCCAGCATGCTTGGCTTCCCAGCTCCACTCTTCACACTGAACTACTGTAGCAGGTACAGCATTATGCCTTGTTCAGGGAACAGAAGGATTCCTGGTAACTCATAATGGGATATCATGCTTCAGTCCTACATTCATGGCTCATGGTCCTTTGATGAGTAACCTGAAAGATCTAAAAACCAGTCACGAGAGTTAATGAAAGCGCTCCAGGCCAAACTAACAAAGTCAGTAACTCTTGTAATATAAACATTAAACTAAACTTACTTTTGGGGAGGTGAAGGTTGAGGCTGAAGACCACAACCCTTAATGGCGTTTATTAAAATTTCTCTTAAGATGACCATGCCACAGAAGGGGTTTACCCTCTATGATGCCTCACTTTGTAGTTTGGTTGAGTGATCTTAATTACTCAAGTATTGAATTTATAAATGTATGATTTGGATGAACAAGACTTAAGACATGTAAATGAAAATTAATGAGTTCCCTTTAAGATGCCTGCTAATGTTATACTATGATTTTACAGCATGACCTGGGCAAAGAGAGAGAGGGGCATTTGCTATTTTTAGAAGATGAGGCTGAGAAATAAAAACATTTACAGGTATGTCTAAACTTGGAAATCATCCAAAGGGAATTAGATTCTGATGATCTCTGTTAACTGCTGGTACAGTTTATTATCTACCTAAAACATTATATCTTTCCCCTGTAATTCATTCCACATTTCCAGAGGAATATTCCAGGAACCAAAAAGTTCACTTAGATTCGTATGGAAGTTGTTTATGGCCAAATATTAGTCTGCAGAGTTGTGTCTAAAGAGTGGCAATCTCGACCCTGGGGTAATACATCAATAGAGAATGATAAAGTTGGCGATGGATATTTTCCCCAACCACCAAAAACTGTATTGTTACCGTTAAACATAGCCTCATGAAAGGAAATATAAAGTATTGCAACTAATCCATTTTTTTTTTGCCTTAACTTCAAGACATCAACGTGCAAAAAGAATTTACTCAGAGAAATAACTTGAGGCTGAGACTAGCTTGCCAATAACTTCTGCAGTGTCTGTGAGAGACTCAACACCACACAGTTATGTCCCTGACGAGTAAACATAAATTCTGTATATTGGGAGTTGTTCTACCTTGATTATGGTACAGTACTCTAAGGCAAGTATAATATAATACTAAAATCTCTGTTTGTGTTAATCAGGACTTTTTTCAAGTTTACTACAAAACACATCACAGAAAGATTGAACTTCCTTTCTGTATGTCTTCCTCTTTTTTTGTATTGATTGATATAAGTTTAACCAATCATCCAGAGATAAGTTTTCTTTCAGATAACATCAACCTTAAGTCCAGAATGGTACACTATGAAGTGAAGTGATTGAAGTTGGTACATAGCCTTGACTAACTGCAAAGTATGTGGGTTTAATATTACAACTGACCAATAGAACTGTCTGCTATTACCCAATATCCCATTACACATTTACTCAATTTTTCTTTTCAACAACACCTACAGTACACCTCTCTCACTACCTGGATATACAGACATTCATTTTCACTACTGCTAAATGAACTTGTCCATCTACCTCAATAATACCAAAATGCTTCAATACAACTTTTTCATCTCCTTATAAACATCTATCTGCAGGTAAACCTCTATTTAACGTACTATATTGAGGGAAAAATGAGTTATATCGAGGGTCCATTACGTGTGAAAACTTCATCAAACGGATTATATGGAGAGAGAATTCCGTTATATGGAGGTTTCACTGTATTGAACTTGCTACCTTCATATAATTTCCTCACATAACAAGTTCCTATTTTGAGGATGTGTCTTATGTTGGCTCATTCTTAAGCTTTCCAGACTGATGTTTATTATCCAAGGCTTTGTTCTGCTCTGAGAGCATGTGCTAGCTCTCAGTGGCTCACCATCCACATACACTGGACATAATGCAGTTAAGACACGATTCCAACAATCTGTCTACAACACGGATATAAAATGAATTGCCCAAAAATGACTAAAAGAATTTATTTTCAGCTACCATTACAGTCGGTACGAGGGGAAGGTTGCTCAGCCGGACAGTCCATCTTGTCACCAGAGAGATGGGTTGTAAGAGCCCCACTGTCAGTTGTATCATCACCAGGAGAACATGAAGATGTTGTGACCTCAAAGGGCAGTGTAGTGGCAGACAGAGCAACAGCACGGTCAGGAAATGACACAGGATTGGGTAATGCTTCTCCTACCTTCATCCAATCCACCTGTGAAAGAAAAAAATATGAGAATAATATACTGTATTCAACTGTATATAGAAATTGGTGACAAATCTATTATCATTCTTTTAAACTGTCATCCAATCGGTTGACGACCGACACGATTATGGTCTGATAGTTCCTGTACGTACATTGCACTAAGTTATATCATGAATTATCATAAGCAAAGCACAGAGTGTAAAAGGTAATAGCATGATTCTTGTATGCAATACGAAATTGCATTACATCATAAGACCCTTGTGTAATGGCAAAAGGAAAAACAAAAAGTGCCAACTCTTTGTTCTCCCCCAGATGTGAAATTACAGTTAGTGTACACTAAAGCATTATGAAATGTATTTGGACTATTTGGTAGTGATGGAGTCTGGTTGGTGACTGGAGGAGGAGTGTGGATGGTGACCACAGCATGAAGAGGTGTGAGCTGAGGTAAAGAAACAGGTAGTGTTATGATGTAAAGAAATCACAATGTGTGGAAAAGAAGTGCCTGAAGAGGGCTGACTGGGTCTGCTAAGGTGGTATAGACATAAAGATAACACGAATAATAATGTTGGCAAATGAAAGAATAATTCAGAGGCTGGATGGTAGGAGAGTGAGAACTACAATGAGTAAATGTTTTTAACTTGCCTTAGACCTCAGTATGTGAACCTGTGGTAGAACATGAGAGCCACAGGCACACTGGCTGCCTGATACAAAGTTGAATGATCCAATTCGAGCCTGACAGCCTGGACAATGTATCTTCCCTTTGGTCCAGGAACTCTGTAAATGATCAGTTCATATCAATACATAAAAAGTGGGGAATAATCTTGAAAACACATTTTATAATAAAGACAGTGAGGAGCCATCAATTAAAGATCCAGTACTGTACATGATAAAGGTTGCAAGGTTTTCCCAATGGAAGGCGATGTGTGACCAGAAGCTATCTAATGGCTACGCCACTCCCTGATGTCAACGCCTGCATAAATATTATGGATAGATACATTTTAGAGCGTGTACCAGCCCTGACATGAGACTTACCTCATTTATTACAGTAAGTATGAAGTCCGGGAAAGATTCCTCGGACAAATATAGGCAACTGTGATGGTCTACTGATGTACAGCCTCCACCATCAATATTTTCCTCTGAAAACATGTAAGAACACCATTAAAAACTTGGTTTAAAATTACAGTCACTCAAACAACAATCTTTACAAAATTGTGTTGAGAAAATATCACACAGTGGATAAAGCATTTTGACAACCCTGCCAAAATTAATCGACACCCCCCCCCGAGATAGTTTTTGAGTGACTGTACAATACGTTATACATCACCCAAATGTACTGATTTGAAAACTTAGTCAACAACCTTAAATATTTAAAAATTAATCAGTTATTCCAATGATTTCAAATCTTGTTACCCTTGTAAAGTTATCATTACGGCTTAATTAATTTTTAATTGCAATTTACGGAACAAAATCTCCATGTGGTATAATGAAAACAACAGAATATTATGTTATTCTTTTCTTAAATGAAATAAAACCTTTATTTAATGGCGAGGAAGGTCTGCTATAACAAGGGTTCATTAGATGTGAAACCTCTAATGAATGAACTATATAGAGATGAAAGTCTGTTATATCGAGGATCCATTAGATGTGAAACCCTCCACCTAACAGACTAATGGAGATAATTCTGTCAAATGGAGGTTACACAGTATCCAAAATGTTAGAAAAACCATTAAGTAAAACTGACGTGTATCATGGTAGTCCTGGCTGTGGGCGTCAAGAAGGCAAAATTCATCTTTAGACAGCAGCAGTTTGCGGCACTTCCTGCACCTCACCCGCTCACTCTCTGCCATGCTTCTAAATATACCTATAAGAAAAAGATGAAGTTAACAGTAAAACTTTAATTTTTATAAGTCCAATGTGGCAAAGAATTGACAATAAAGACGAAATGTGTTTTGGTGCAAGAACTGACTGTATTCTTGCATCCACAAAAAACGCTGTTTCAAGATACAGACTTTCCTCGACTTACGACGGGGTTCCGTCCCGACGACCAAGTCGTAAGTCGAAGAGGCAAAAATAATACAGCTCCTCCCAGACTTACGACCTACTCGACTTACGACCTGCCTCAGTCGTACCAAAAATTTTTCAAATTACGTTTTTTCGAGTCCCAACATCAGTAGAGAGAGAAAATTTTCGTTTGTAATTCCCTTTAAAATGGCTGGCAAGCGTAAAAGTGAGAGTTTTGTGGTGCTGAGAAGAAAAAGAGACACCCATTTTAGATTTTCTATGTACAGTATTATTTAAGCATTTTCGACTTAAGACCTGGATTTGGGTCTCTAACCCCGTCGTAAGTCGGGGAGGAGCTGTACATAGGAATTTCTAAAATGGGTGTCTCTTTTTCTTCTCGGCACCACAAAACTCTCACTTTTACACTTGCCAGCCATTTTAAAGGGAATTACAAACGAAAATTTTATCAGTACACGCGCGATCACTAATGTCGGGACTCGAAAATATGTAATGTGAAAAATATTTTTTACGACCATGGCCGTATGTCTGGTCTTTAATAGTCTGTGGTCTGTAATAGTCTGTGGTCTTTAATAGTCTGTGGTCTGTAATAGTCTGTGGTCTTTAATAGTCTGTGGTCTGTAATACTGAAAATTGGAAACCTACGGACAGCCAATGGACGAATATTAACCCAATTCCATAAATTATTTCTAATGCTATGTTCTTCACCTTTACTGTCCAATTTATAAAGAGCTGATATATATATAGTAAGTTCTTTCTGTTTAGTATACCGGGGAGGTTAGGTTAGGTTAGGTTAGGTTTGCATGGTTTGTTAGGTTAGGTTAGGTTAGGTTAGGTTAGGTTTGCATGGTTTGTTAGGTTAGGTTAGGTTAGGTTTGCTTGGTTTCTTAGGTTAGGTCTGTTCTTACCCGCTAATGTTAAGTAGCGTTTATTTTTAAAATATTAATTTTTTAACATCTTTCCACAAACTACAACAGTGTCCACTATAATATAACATTGAAAATCCGGCGTTTTTATAATTGTTCTCAATCAATTCGGTTGCGGGTTAGTCCTTCACCTCAACTACCTGGACAATAACTTTAAACTATCACCAAAAGCTGTGGTGCCTCTACCTCCAGACCTAAGGCTGTGACAGACTACACCAGTAACCAGGTAAAAACACTTTATTAAACATTTCCCTTAATAATGCTTTATAAGAGGCCAATACAAAACTGACCTCATTCACCTATCAACCAATTACCTTTGATTATATCTGCAGTTTACACACCTGTATCTCTTAATTACTGCACAAGGTCGAGTTTTATTTGAGCCTCGAGTCTGTGGTCCGAGGCCGAGGCCGAGTGTTATGTGTGACGTCATCGTCGTCAGTTGGATCCGGATCCCTGCCTCTCGGTCGTGACGTCATACACCCACTCTACACTAGTACATACAGTGCTGCATACTAGCCCACCAGGGGACAGGTCAATGACCCACATCGGAGCCTGGTGGCGAAAATATAATAATAATAATAATAATAATAATAATAATAATAATATAATAATAATAACAATAATAGACCCTGCTGCTGTAAGTCATCGTGACCAGGCCCCAGGTTGGTGATCTGTCTCTCTGCCTCATTAACACACAACTGTAGGTCTCAATTGTTTCTCTTACCTGGACAACACAACATACATAATGTATATCGTTTCTCACTCTTGATTTTTTTTTGTATTTATTTATGGTTATCATTATCATTATTTTGTTTTTATTAATTTGCTATTAATTTTATTAATTGTTGTAATAATAATAATACGAGATATTATTATTATTCATTATTATATTTTCGCCCCCCAGGTCCTGATGTGGGTCAGTGACCTGTGCCGGGTCAGACTAATTACCCAAATGTAGCCGCAATGAAGTCAAATGATGATCCTTCAAGAATAAATTGAACTGCCAATCACTTCTCGACTGGTATTTGGTGTCACAGTCACAAAAAATTGGTAAACTTAATTTAATCTGAGTTAATAGATCGAGTGCATGTACCTAACCTAACACACCTCAGATTAAATTAAGTTTACCAATTTTCTGTGACTTTATGACACCAAATAATAATCAAGAAGTGATTCACAGCCTGATTTATTCTTGTAGGATCATTATTTGACTTCATTGCGGCTACATTTGGGTAATTACTTGTTCCCTCGGTACATGCACGCGATCTATTAACTCAGATTTAAGTAAGTTTTCCAATTTTTTGTGACTTTGTGACACCAAAAACTAGTCGAGAAGTGATTGGCAGTCCGATTTATTCATGTAGGCCCATTATTTGACTTCATTGCGGCTACATTTGGGTAATTAGTCGGACCGCCTGTGCCCGGGTGGGCTAATCCCCGTAAAAAAATAAATACGTAAATAAAAAATAAATTAGGTTATGATTCGTTTTAGGTTGACCACGGAAGTTAATTTTCCTATTCATATATTTTGTTTCAATATTTTAACTGATATGACCTCCCCCAATTACCAACAATATTGATTGTTCAAAGTGGGCAGGGCTTTGAAGTAGAAGGAAAATGTGGGACAGAATATTAAAAGGAACACAAATAAACATTTTAAAACCTTACCTTACCTTTCCTAATTTAAAAAATCCTAAAAACATAGAAGCCTTACCTTAATCACATTTTCGGTGTTAAGTATGTGGTGTTTCCTGTGTTCAGATGAGGGACCCATAAACTCAAAAGCAGTTTTCAAGCTTTTTACAAGTTAGGAAAGGCTAGGTAAGATTTTTAAAGTTTTGTTTACTTTTACTTTTATCCTCTTTGCTACTGATCGGCTCATTAGCCGCTTGGACAGTCAGTCATGTCTCTGATAGGCGCTGTTGGCAGATACTGGGCATGCACTGTCTCCTGAATATATATGAACCTGCTCTAGTGTTGGTCAAGTCTGGCCTTGAATGAGCTCACACTCGGTGCCATCACAACACTCTTCAGCAGATTGTACCAAGAGTTCACAACTCTCACAACAAAAATTTGCCCTCACAGTTTTTTGGACTTGTGTCTTCTTCAACCTTGAGCTGTGACCTCTTGTGGGGCAGACGTCTGCTAGCTCCAGGTGTTCTTTTGAGTATTTTACATCTACTTATGATAGGTTTATGATTTATTACTACTTCAACGGCTTCGGACACAGTAGATGCGCTTCGCTGAACTTCCGTTTCTTGTAAACAAACTCGCAGGTAGACAACATACAAACTAATGGTGGTACCAATGGTAATTTGGATATAGACCACACAAGCAATTACGGTAATACTTCCAGCAATTTTTGAGGCTTTACTAAAATTTGTACAGTACAGTATTTATAGTACAGTACTGTACAGTATGTTGTATCCCCATTTATCCCGAGTTTAACAATAAGTTCACTTAACTTTAGGTTTTTTCAGGAACACAACCCCTTTGTTAAATTAGGGATACCTGTAATATTGTGGTTTTCTTGTCATTGGGAACCAAACCCTCTTTTTTCCTATTAATTATGTTACTGGTGTGCCAAAAGTTTGATACCCTGTACAGTATTCAAATTGTTTTCAAGGAACCTAAACCATCCAGATAGTGAGGGACGCCTGTCATGTCATACTACCTTACTTCTGGCACCTGCACTTTCAGCTAATTCATAAAAGGAGACAAATTCTGAACTGTCAAAGTTTGGAAATGATGACTGTGGTCACTGCTGCTGCCACAACACCCTCCTAGCTGATGACTGTGGTCACTGCTGCTGCCACAACACCCTCCTAGCTGATGACTGTGGTCACTGCTGCTGCCACAACACCCTCCTAGCTGATGACTGTGGTCACTGCTGCTACAACACCCTCTAGCTGATGACTGTGGTCACTGCTGCTGCCACAACAACACTGCTGCTGCCTCCTAGCTGATGACTGTGGTCACTGCTGCTGCCTACCCTCCTAGCTGATGACTGTGGTCACTGCTGCTGCCACAACACCCTCCTAGCTGATGGCTGTGGTCACTGCTGCTGCCACAACACCCTCCTAGCTGATGACTGTGGTCACTGCTGCTGCCACAACACCCTCCTAGCTGATGACTGTGGTCACTGCTGCTGCCACAACACCCTCCTAGCTGATGACTGTGGTCACTGCTGCTGCCACAACACCCTCCTAGCTGATGACTGTGGTCACTGCTGCTGCCACAACACCCTCCTAGCTGATGACTGCATGACAGTGATGACACTAAAGAATTTTTGTTGTGTGGTGCACATACACCTGTACTCTTAGTTACACTACATGTATGTATTATGGTTTCAAGTATAAATTTATGCATATAAATACAGTTGGAGGCTGGTAGATGGTGGGGGGGGGGATTACTACTGTTATTCTGTAAAAATTCTATACAGCAAAAGGTTTGGTGCAGAGCTTTGTAAAGAGTTGAGGCTACTGTATCATGATTTGTCCCCCTTATAGTACAACACAGTTGGCTCATACACCATCAATGCAATACACATTAAAAATAACTTGTATATACAGTATAGTAGTTTTATTTTAATGTGAAAAACATAAAATCATTACAATAAGAATGGTCTTTGGCATTATCTAATGGAATGAATATAACTTTGTATATAAAATATTAAGATAAAATGTGCTTTTAAGATGTTTAGTAAGAAACGTTCAACACCAGAGAAACAAAGTTACTGTATCATGGAAGTCAGCTTGAGACTCCTGCTGATACAATTAATGGTTTAACATAATAAAATCAGACAAACAAGTCTTGTTTCACAAAGGTGTACAAGATAGTGACTATACATCTCACCTTTGTTACACTCTGCTTCATGAAAAACTAGCAAATTTCCTATACATGAGAAGATCTCTGTTGGCTGGTGGTTGAGATCCTTTTGATGCCATGGAAACATAACCATTATAGAGGTCTCTTGAGCGGCGACCAACAGTAGGGGGATCTGTCTCTACTGAAGAGTCTAAACAAAAACTGGAGCGTTGAATGAGCACCAAGGGAGCTGTAAAAAAAGATATAATTATTGTAAAATGATCCAGAACAAGTTGGTAATAATTCCAGTACTGTTCAGAAATCCTATCGTAAGGCCGAGAGCTCATAATTAAGCATATGTACACCAAATGCACACAAATGGCCATTTTCTGTATACATTTGAAGCAGTAAGTCCGAAGAAAAATTCTGAATCTCGGGTATTACTTTTAAGTATACTAACAAATTGATTCGTCAAACTCAAATACACATAACTGAAAGGATTAATGATACGTTCATTCAATTATCCTAAGATTATAGATTATCTTTACCAATTAAACACACTAGTTTTCATTTTCCAGAAAAAAAGGCATTTATTGTCCCGAGGACAACTGATCTTGCATTTCAGTATGTGAGGTCAAAACATAAATTTTGTTCAAATTTCAAACAAAGGCGCTCCTTCACATGTTGGTTAAAGATCAGGGATTAAACCTCTTAAAATTTGAGTAATTAGTGTTAATTAATGATCCTTTAAATTAATCCTTAGACTCCGCCATTTACAGTGTGAGAAGCCGGCTCACTGCTGTATGTATGTACAGTACAGTACGTGCAATAAACAAACAATTTATAATTTAAAAACTTGTTTTATTCTTACAAAACTAAATACTGTACATGCATAAAGAAGAAACACAACACAACAAAAATAATTTACATACAAGAGTAATAACTAAACCTGGTACAGTACGCCCGGATAATTCACGGATTTTTATTTTGCGGTCCTCTATCATTCGCGGATGACACCCTGGATGTACCCAAGAATGTCTAAGAGTAGTTTTAAAGTTGCTGGCATTTTTGTGGCCAGGACAGGGAGCCATTCATTCTGGAAACAGTAATTTCCTTTACCTGTATTGTAGATATGTGTGTGTGTGTGTGTAGACACACACACACAAAATACTGTACATACAAATTAATAATAATGGGAAAATCCTCTCACAAATAATTAATAAATTTATTAAAAATGTTGAGTCTACCCTCAACTCCATTCCGTGCTTTGTTATTAATAAAGCACGGAGTGCACTTGAGGGTAGACTCAATAGTTTTAATAAATATTTGTCTGATTATTTGTGAGAGGATTTTCCCATTATTATTTATTTGCATGTATTTTGTGTGTGTGTGTCTTCACACACACACACACACACACACTGTATATACAGTATAGGTAAAAGTAATAATTGTCCTAAGGGCAAATACAAAGGGAATATACATTTCTTTGTACACAAGTAAAAATGCACCCCCGTCAGCAAATGTTATTTGCGGATTTGGCAATTCACGGCCATTTTGAGAACCTAATCCCCGCGAATTTGAAGGGCCTACTGCACAGTGAAACCTCCATATAACAGACTTGCCTCTCCATATAATGGACTTTTATCTCAACAGTATATAGTTAGTTAGATGGAGGTTTCACATCTAATGGACCCTTGATATAATGAACTTTCTTCTCTATATTGTCCGTTAAACAGAGGTTTCACTGAATACTGTACTGCAGTTAGATCACAGGTATTACATTATTTGTGGAGAGTTAAGGCTTATATCAACACCTACCACACCTTAAAAAAAAATATATATATATATATATATATATATATATATATATATATATATATATATATATATATATATATATATATATATATATATATATATATATATATATATATATATATATATATATATATAATTGAACCAATTATTGTTTCTCTGATGAACACGTTTTTGTTAATAATAATAAAAGGTTATATTCTGAATAAGAATCTTACTTTAATTAAGAAATACACATTGGCTCACCTGCAGGTCCAGTACTTTGGTTCATCTTGATCACCGGACAACTTGTTGTTTTGTAAATCTGTTCATACCTGCAATATTAAATACTACACAGTTATTCAGGAATATAATTCTTCTATAATTTATATGTACTTATAGACCTTTTAGTAAGTATTTGTGAAAAAAACACCTATGATAGAAGAAAATTTTCAAAGAAGAGTCCCAGAAGTGTGGAACAGTGTACAGCAGCCAGTCAGAGTAAGAGGGGATGTGAGAACAATCTGAAGTAGACAGGTGGAGAGCAGTAACATGATGAGGACTAAAATATGGACAAGGTAAGAAGTTCTCGATAATAATGACATCAGGTGGCTGTGTGCACTGAATATAAAGGCAATAATAATAACAGCTAGAAATACGTAAGAACTACTAATGGAGCGTTCACACGGAGATCTTTAAAAAATTCAATTAACAGCACGAGAGTTTACGTACACATTTTCAGTTTATGAGCACCAATTGTCAAGTTTGGGCAAAATTCTGTGAGAAACAAAAGAAGAATTTATTCTATCAAACTACTGTGTAATAATTATAATCATCAACACCGATTACTCAGCATGTCCAGGTATTTATTTTATTCACAAATAATCCCATCCAGAGTTACACCGAACAGATGATCTCTTTTGTTTTGATTGGTGCCCGTATTCTTCTGCAATGGACCGACGCCGTGCTCCGTTAGGCGTGTAGGGTAACCTGGAGCTGGCAATACAAACCTTAAAGACTCATTAATAACATGTAACAAACTTGCCTCTTATAGATACTATTGTCGGCTCTCGATGGTTCGTGGAGGTAGTCCCCGTACGTCTCGGTCATGGGCGGGAAGAAGGACACCAGGGAGAGGCTTGGACTGTTATCACCGTCGTCGTCACTTGCGGTGGTAACCACAGACAGTTCATCCTCGTCACTTGCTTCGCTCTCGGTTGAACTAGAAACGAACGAGTGATCCTAGAATCACTTTTTTGTGGAGCTCACAGCCAGGCAGCTCCTTATAACACAGCTGCAAACTGAGGGTATTCTATCTACAGTACTCTGAAACATTCCCACTCAATCAGCCCTCAGAATACATCAATCATCCCCTTTTACAGGCTAAGTCTACACCATTCAACACTACTTCTTGTCATTACAATGTCTCTTACCATATTGTTGGTTGAATATTGGTAGTAAACCTGCCTCGCACAACTGCATCCCAGGTTCAATCCTGGATCAGATGTGAGATGGGTGACATCCAATGAGACCCTACCAAATATTGCGGGTTTCCTCCGGGTACTAACACAGGACAAACTCATCAGGAATAATGGAGAAAATAAATAAGTTCTTTTTCCTTACCCTGTCTAAGGGAAAAGTAATTACAAGATCAACTCCATATTTCTGGTTAATGTCTTCTGCCAGGTGGCCCCTCATAGTTGAGAACCAGCTAGACAAGGGAGGAAGTGGTGGTGTTAGGAAAAGCTCCAGAATTACTGTACTTTAAACTGTGAGTATGATTGTTATTTCTATACAGAGAGTCGAGTCCGAGTTACTAAAGTTAGACTTCTGAACACTCAGATGTGCAACCCAGACAACGCATTATCCAAGAGGCTGAAAAAAAAATATAAACGACAAAGAGAAATCTACTCTTTGCTCTGTGTATTTGTTTATATAATTATTACATCTTTATTACCACTTTATAACCTCACCTGGTACCACTCGATGTAGTGGAGGATGTAGAGGCTTGACCCGTCATGCCTGGGTTTTTTTGTGAGGAAGAGGTGGAACTCTGGTTACGCGACAATTCTTCCTGACGTTTCCCAGGGCGACGACGAACACTGAATGGACTTTCATCGGTGGTAAAGTTTGGCATGTAGTCTCTATAAAACAAGTCGTGGGAGGTAGTTATTCTCAAGAAGCACGAGAAGAAAATACCAGACTGAATTATACTGTACAAACCCACTTTATGGGCAAAGAAATGACCGAGTTAGCTAGTTATGCACCTTAGTTGTTGAAGTGCAGTACTGTATTAACATTATTACCCCACCAGATCACTCCTGGCACAGTCTACCTCCCCAGTCACACCAGGTTTATGAAGCAAGTTCTGAGTCTGACCCTGGTCTTGTGGCTGCTTTAATCCCTTCATTATGGGGGATGCCACTTTGAATATTTTATTTGGCGAAAGTCAGATCTTATTCAGCTCAGATGCAACCCTATACACAAGGGGCTAAAGTAACAGACAGGAACAAACACCTATAGTCATCAATACCTTATCAGGTGGATCTCCTCCTTATTATCACATACCTCACAGAGTGGCTCATGTGATAACTAAACAATTCTGATAAAATGCAGAATTCCGAAGGTCGATGGTGGTCAGTATACAAATCAATCTGAAGATCAAGATTGTCAATAGTTAAAATTGATGAAACTTATATATTTATAATGATAGATATAGCAGTTTTTTAATACATGAGAAAGAAGTCAATTACTTTACAAAACAGAAACTAAAAAAGCTATTGTTAATAACGTACCTTTGGTTCTCCTGATGAAACAGGCAAGAGGAGCGATACAGATTTTCTGGCTTGTTCAACTGGCACCGGCAGAGTCTCCATCACATCTGAGTCCCACCACTGACTTGTACTCCGACTAAATATAAGAAGAAATGAAAGTTTACAATAGAGAGAACAATTTACTCTCTACATATTCCAACTGGAGAATTACACATCTATAAGAGAAGAGAGAAATAGGTTAAAATGCAGTGCCACAATAGCCCAACACATACTGTTAGGTCACTACTGTTGCTTTTGAGAAATAAAACACCAACAATTATTATTATACAACTATAATTATATGAAAACTTAATACAAATGAAAGTGCAGCAGCTTAAAGGAATGACAGATGTAAACCATACTTGTTCTAAAGCTAAACTATCCTGTACAGTACTGTTCTTAGCTATTAAATTACCTCAACAGTTTAAGCTACTGTTTTGTAACAGTAAATAACAAACCAAACTGCTACAAAGAAAGGGAGACTGATAATACTTAATTATTGTAAATGAACACTTCAAGAGTTCATGCTTCCTAAGTACAGGTACAACAAAATCTTAAGAGTGATGACGGTACCTGTGACAAGGGCGCACCCCTCGTGTCAGTGTGTGGTGAAGGAGGTAGTCCGAGGATAACTCCCAGATGGGGACTGGTTCTTCACGAGGAATATACACACCCAGGAACAAATTTATTGCATTCTGCTTCTCAGTATCTGTAAGAAAGAATGAACATTTCTTTCAAATTTTACTTCGTAAGATTATATAAAAAATGAAGGGCTGATTCTAAAATTTAATTACATGATGAGTAAAGACTGAGTAAAGGGCTGCAGGCCCTGCTAGCCTCTAGACTATTGGCCCATATTCCTTCAGCTATGGCCAATGATGTGGTAGAGGGGTTACTCCCCATTGAAACCAATCCCCTTTTTCCATAAGCCCAAAGAAATATATTCACAGGTTCACCATTTGCACACCTCAGCACACAACCCCCCCATCAATACCAAAGGTCTCATGTATTATCTATTATCATAACAAACACAACATTGTAAGTGTAGAAAAAAATTATTCCACAATGAACTGTAACATAATTTACCAGAGAAAGTGTTGCTGTAGTATCTGGATAATGTTTGCATGATATCATTTCCCTGGCTCGTCCACGGGGCGGTGCGTCGGTAAGTTTTGATCCTGTGAACCAGCTGAGACCCTCCGTACTGTAGGGCAAGGGTGTCTCCGTGGTCCTCGTACATTTCTTCCAGCATACGGACACAGTCGCTGTCAAACTCCAATGCAGGACGTTCAAGGACTCCAAGTGAATACAACTGAAATTATTTAAAAAGTTAGAAAATACCAAAACCTCATCTATAATCTGGATAAAAATGAATGTGAATGTGTGCAGTCATCGTCCCTGAACTCTTAATTCTCCACAAAGGTTGACACAGTCCCCCTGACAACAATTGACAAGCCTCATTAATGCCAAGTATATAAGCTTGAGTTATCACAGAGACCTGTGGTACAATGTAAGTGAAAGTGAGTTCCATTGGTCTGATGACCTATGAGGGAGTGTTGATACAGTACAGTAAAACTTCCATTAAATGGATATCAACCTAACAGATGTAATCCACTGAATGGAGGTTACACCTCTAACAAACCTCAATATAATGGACTACACTCTCCCTATAGTTTGTTAAAGAGAGGACTCATAGTACTGTACACTACAAACTAAGACAATAATGCACAAAGAGGATGTGTGGGTAGCACCTCACTCAAACACCCACACATCTCCAAGTATAAATTTAAGGACTCATTACAGCTGGGTAGACTGAGGGTGCCTTAGGCTTGAACCAGCAACCCTCAGAACAGGAAATGAGTTCATAGGGAAAAAGTGTTTAGTGTAGTATGCTTATAATGCCGTCAACACCAGATTTAATATATTATACAAGCTACAGGTCATTCTGGTGAGTGTGAGATGGTATTCCTTCATGTTTTTCACACAGGCAAGATTGATAATGCTATGCCCAACTATGTAAGAACAAAGTTTAACCTATTATAAAATACATTTTTAGGGTAAAAAGTAAGTAGGTACAGTAATATATTGTATTGTATGAATCCAATTGCTGATACAGTAATACAATCTATTATTAACTACAAGTGTAAATACAGTGAATACAGTAATTGATATTTTCATCTATTCAAAATGTTGAGATTTGAGACTACCTGCACAGTACAGTACAGTATTATATTTTAATTCTCTGAAACTAAAATGCATTTAAAACTTTTATAACCTTCTCAGTAACAAAGTTTTAATATTAACAATGGCAATACAGTATATATACCTGTACTGTACAGTACTGCTAACCTGGAATGCAAGGGCACATTTTCCAAGGCAGAACTGGGCGGTGTTTGTCCGGTCAAGACAATCAACGCAGTTTACCCGTACAACTCCTGTTTGCATCCGGCCGTGACGTTCAGTTAGCGTGAAATTTCTTTGGGAAATAAACACGGTAAAATCAACGTTTCTCCTTCATATTTAGTATTCAATAACATGTATTTTGATCCTTAAAATAAATAAACTTTGCAGATGGTCCTCAAGTAGACTACTCTGAATCAAGGGTTACAGTACTCTCCTAGAAAAGGCCACAACAGCACAGTAAAGTACTGTATATAGTGAAACCATATGATTGACTTCACTCTCCACATAATCAATTCGATGGGAGCTTCCACATGTAACAGACCCTCTATATAATGGATTTTCATCTTATATTCATTATATGTTTTTTTTATACATCTAATGGACCCTCAATATAAGACTTTTCTCTTCTATAGTCTGTTAAATAGAGGCTTCACTGTAATACCCCTAATTAAACACAATATTCACCCCCAAAAAGTTCAAAACAGTACCTGCGGGAACCGAAGTTATAATTGCCCTGCGTGCTAGTCCTCTCCATGTGACGGTAATGTGTGTTAGGGTTGAGATGGTGACTGTAGTATGGGGGAGCACTCTGGAAGATGCCCGTCTTCTTTACTGCCCTATAAGCAATATCAGACAGCCGACTCATCACATTCTCGTCTTTCCTGAGGGACGATCATACACATTAGGTCTTTTTCTGAAGATTTTTGTGATGAATATATTGGGATCCCATTCATAAGTGCAGGAGTTCATAACTTGGGGACTGCCTGTATTTTTTAAAACTTTATAATTTCCTTTAGTCTACTTTCATCTATTCCCATATTCAACCACAAGTTGTTTTTTTTACTTTATGCATTTTACAAGAAGAGAGAGTACGGTATCAGTAAAGTTTCTGAAATTTACCAAAATCTTGGAATGCCTTATTCACTCACCCAATTTTCCGAGGCAGTAACACAATATTTATACGTGATCTCTCAAAAGTGTCCTATACAGCATATGCCAGTCTGTTACCTGAGTTACTGAAGTCTCCACAAATCTTGAATGGTGAAGAGGATGCATGCAAGTTACTGGTTCACTCATAGTTTCTGCACTAATGTGTTATACAAAACACAGTAAAACACAAGAGTAAAATCTGAATTACTCCTCAGTGGGTTCAATGATTGTCTAATATATTACCAGATGATAAACTTTCTTATTTTTACTTACTGTTTGTTGATACGAGCCATATCAACAGCTACATATTGGATGTGGTGCTGTGGAGGAAGAGTGATGTTCAGTTGGTCGATGAGACGACAATAATCTGTGTTGAGGATGGATTCATGAGGCCGACGCTCTCGTCTCTTCACAAGGTTTAAGATGATGATGGGCGACCCAAACCTCCGCAGTAGTTCGTTAAAATGCTTCCCTGGGGTATGAGAAATCCATTTATATATCACCAGCATAAAATATGGTTTAATATGTTGATGAACTTTATCTCATCTATATATTTATTTCTTTAGGGAGAAAAATGAGAAAATCCTCAAACATTTCTATCAACCACAAACTTAGTCCAGTCTACTCAATCGGTTTATACCATATAATACCACAGAGTTCATGCACCCAATACAGTACATACCAGAAACAGTAGGAAAATGATAACTAGCATATTACCGACTATACAAATATTGGTACAGTTTATGGGGATGCCAGTTAACTGTTGTTTTTCTCAAGCTCTAAATATTGTGTACGGTCTCTCCTCGACTTACGACAACCCGGACATACTACGGCCATGGTCGTATAAAGTATTTTTCACATTACGTATTTTCAAGTACCGATGTTAGTGATCGCGCTGTGTACTGACAAAATTTTCGTTTGTAATTCCCTTTAAAATGGCTGGCAAGTGTAAAAGTGAAAGTTCTCGTGGTGCTGAGAAGAAAAAGAGACACCCATTTTAGAATTTCTATGTATTATTTTCTACTTACGACCTGGTCGTCGGGACGGAACCCCGTCGTAAGTCGAGGAGAGACTGTACACTGGTGTCACTTCTGTGCATTTTCATACATTGTTCTCTCTATTTCATTACCACAGCACAATGGCATTCTACAAAAAACTCACCTGCAGTTTCTGCAAATGGATCCATTACATCAAAAGTAATAGGTGGTTTTGGTACCATCTTGCTCACATCTTGTGACCAGTGGGATGGTATGGAACCTCGAATCTGTAAATAGTATATAATACCTTTTATTATAAAAACAGGATAGATTTAAATTATTGCTAATTACATTACCACTATCATTAAGAATTATCCATTTTTATTTATGAAAAGAGCCAAGGTTCAAATACAGTATTATAGTGGAGATTATGACAGGATGAGGGAGGAAATAAGGGGTGTTCATTGGCCTGGCTTGTTGAGAAATAAGAACACAGATACTACACTGAATATCATAGCCACTAAAGTGAAATATTTGATTGATAAATATATACCCAAGACCAAACCCAGTGGCTCCAGGAATACAAGGAGACCACTACACATGAACCATGCGGCGGTTGTGAATCTCGTTCTCATGAAAATAATATAAATGGCAACAACTCGTAGTTAATACAAGGTGGGATTTAACTTAAATGGTTCTTAAGGACTTTCATACCGTGTCTACGGCAACTCTACACTCAAAATAAAACTTAAACACAGTACCTGTTCTATATTTTGAATATTTAAAATACTGTAAGGAGAAACTGAGGTGTTTGGTTCACATACCTGAACAAATGAGGTAAATCTGCCCATAAGAAGAGAAGTTACATGGGCATCACACACCAGCTGTTCTGTCTCAACTTCATTAGCTACATCACCCTGAAAACCATCACAGATGTATTAACATAATATCCTCTGTACATTTATACTTGTAGTATTAATATAATATCCTCTGTACACTATACTTGTATTAATATAATATCCTCTGTACACTATACTTGTATTAATATAATATCCTCTACACTAACAATAAACAGTATTTATGTCTCTTTTCAATGATAACATAATCATGGTGAGTAAAGTATAATGTGTGTCCCTTGGCCTTGTTTAATTACACAAGGAGGCAGCAGATTGGTCGACACTACTTAATCACCCTTCACTTCCCAACAGTTGGGTGTACTGGGTATGACTCTGTATCCCTTAGGAAAATACTGTACTGTACACCCTTACAAGTAAGTTATGGAATTAAAAAATATAAAACATCTGGGTAACCTGCTTTTGAGAGAGGATTCACTGGCAATTTGCATACAGCATATCACCTTCAAAATATAAATACAGTAATAAATAAAAAACTTGAGTTCTCTCACCTCAAAGTTGGCTCCTCGTTTAAGAAATCTTGTGCCAGCATAACGACAAGATCTCCTTGCAATCAAAGTCAAAAAGAAAGATCGTCCGTATACGGATATGTTGCTCTGAAAAGAACAAAAAATAAGAGTTTGAAAACCATATTGTAACTTATCATGATATTAATATTATACTATGACACAAGGACACACAAAGCCATCATTTTATTTCTTCTTTATACTCAAGTTACTGAAAGATGACTGGAAAAATGTTTACACAAATTTTTCCTACTGTTGTTGTCATACTCAATCTCATTACAACGTACTATACTACATGTGTTCTGCTATGACTCTCTCCTTCCTCAACAAGACACTAACTCTGGTTTACCGCTGCCACTTCAGGTATTCTAGCAGATATCTGAAGTGCTCCACACCATCCATGCCAGTCAACACTTTCATCTCTTCTCATCTCCCTTGTCTTATTTTTTTAGTTTACATTTATTAGTGTTTTCTCTTCCAAACTCTTCCCTAAGAACTGGAACTTTTCATCTGAAGACACCTGCTGACTCGCCTCAAATTTACATATATCTATGAGGATTACTAATTGAATTGTAACTTATTCCATCATTCTTGCTTTCAACTCTCTTACTACCCCATCTATTAAACAAGCCTGGTGACAAACAATACATACTGTATATCTTTAACCCAGTCTTACTTTTCTTCTTCCCAACAAAATCTTACACATGATTCACTCTCCTCCTGAGAAACTCCCTGACTCCATTTAACAATTCTCCATGCATCTATATTTTCAATACTTGTTATATGATGTTTCTGTTTATACTATCATATATTTCTGACAAAATCTATGCCACAAACTGTTCCCTCGCCCCAAAACTTATGTTCTTGAATACAAAAACCGGTTTATGTATACTTTGTCTACACCCATTATGTCGACTCTAAAATTATCACATATTCCCAGAAAGACTACAGTCAGTTAATGATGACCTGACCTAACCTAACTTATTGGGATGTTACCCAAAAAAGCATTAATAATCCTCACATTTCCCTTATAAACATACTGTAATTACATGTAGAGTTAACCTTACAGTATAATATATTCAAGCAATACAATGGTAACACTTGGGAGCATTTACCTGCGCAACAAACCCGTGGGTAATGGGTAAGATCCAGGCTGGATGTAAACGTCTTTCAACCGGCTTCAGAAGGTAAGCGTTCCACACATACTTGTTGTTAGGAATATTACGGATCCCATACGAGCAAGGAACTTGTTTCTTTCTTTTGCCAGGCGGTGAGGTCTGACTCTGGCTCTCAGAAGCAGTTGTTGTATCATTGCCATTACAACTGCTTTTTATATTTGATTGAGAACTGTAAAACACAAAAAAAAGAGTTTGAATATATTACAGACCAGACTCATGCCTGTTGCGTCAGCCCTTAGCTTCGATTAGAATTCTCAAGAGATTAAAAATTGAAGAATTCCTCCTTAAATCAAGTTTTACAACTGACTCAGTATTAGGCAAATCCATACAGTTAGCAAGTCTATGATCCGAGCTTCCTTGGTGTCTCAAACCTGATGTAAAAAATTTTCATCAGGCCGGCACAGTCATGCTAAAGAAGTCGGAGGCATCCCATCATTCATTATCTTAAAAAGGGCATAAGAAACCCATAATGCAAACAGACGATGGTTCTTTGACCGGCAATTGATTACTGTAATAGTCATAGATGTATAATAAACTCTGATACTATGACTGATCACTGTCCTGTCTGCCAGTCAAATGGACTCAGAAGTGCTGGAAAATATAAGCCAACCTTGCAACTCAATAATTACACGTTATAAATGTACTTTACTAAAATGATAACACTTAAACCTGTCAGCAAACAGTCTGTAATAAATAGACCAGGGCTGAGACGATCATGACAAAAGTTTGCTGTGTTTATTAAGTGAACTAAAACTAAGAAGTGCGTTGAACCTGAAGTTGTACAGATAAAGGTCACTAGATACAGAGAAACCTCTATTTAATGGGCTATATGGAGAGGAAAGTCTGTTGTATCAAGGGTCCATTAAATGTGAAATCCCCATGTAATGAATTACAGTACAGGGTATATATAATATATAGAAAGAGAAGTCCCTTATATGGAGGTTTCACTGTAAAAGAAAAAATTAAACAGTTACACGATTCCCCAAATACATGAAGCATAATAATGATCTGGAAAAATATTAGTAATGATAAATACAAAACTTACATACCTAAACCCTTTGCCTGGCTCCTCACTTGAATCCTTGGAATTTACAGATAAATTCAGAAAGTCCTCGGCCTTCTCTACTTCTCCCACTGCAAGACAAGTAACACATGTAACAGTGAAAGTAAATCTTCCATATTTACTACCTTAACTTGGACAAAAAATGCAAATACTGTACATGGTAAAAAAAAATCCAACACCTGTGTGGCACTGGTAATGAAATTTGAGAAAAATAATTTATTACAAGATAAAAGCCCAGTGAGGCATCACAATTATAAAAAACAACAAAACATATTCTCCAGGTACCTGAAGTGAAGAAAGATCCACGAGATATATAATGGAGACTGGGTAAGATTAAGTAAGCTTCAAGAACAGATGAAGCTCCAAGTACTGCACTGTATCAGGTAAATCTCCATAAGCTTTCCTCTAATGCTAGCTGTATAATTCCCTAACAATATAAACAACAAGAAGTTTTCATGACTGGAGGAAGAGGAGTCTTACCATCAGGTGATGGAGACTTGAAGCGTAAGAGCAGCTCATGTGGTATGTCTCTGGGTGGTGACATATTATACTGAAGGCTATGTGTTAGGTCATAGCTGTAGCTGCAAGAACAACATTTTTAATTAAATCATTTATATTTAAATATAATTAATTTCATGAATAATTTCATTGTTATACTAATATACGGTATGTAATGTATGTTAGTTTTTTCAGTAACAGACATAACAGACTATAACCAAGAATGTCTCTGAATTACATCTGATCATGGATTGACAATGGTTTTTATTTTCTGTGTGTTTGAGTTTATTGTGGTGTGTGCACATACTGTACATGCATCAAAGTTTGCATCAATGTGAAAAATTCCACTAAAACTGATTACCTAAGTAAACTTGTTACGGTACATACATCACCTACACACTGTATGATGCCTACTAATGGAAACTATGTGAAGGCAAAGTGGAGTAGTAACCTGACATAGTTGGGTTCAGAGTCGGAAGTCTGAATGTTGGTATACTGTATAACTGTACTGTACTAGGAAGGGATGTACAGGGGAGGTTTGTCAAGACACAGCAGTAGAGAGATAGATATTATAAAATCACTGCATCATAGGAAAAGACTAAGAAGACCAGGACAAGATTGATGTATGCCATTTGACTCATTTTTTAAAACTACCTTCATGAAACCCTGTATTTCATGATGAATCCCTCTAGTATTTACCTTCATTTTGGGGCCAAACGAAAATGAACACAAACCTGAAGTAAAAGTTAGAAGAGAGATCAATATTCTGAAAGAGCCGCACATATTTAGGTTCATCGTCGTGGTGCTTCCTGACAGAATCGTGAGGGATGTAGATCATTGTCGTGTCCTCCACCTGTAAGACAATAAGATGCAAATTAGTGTATAGTGTCTTCAGCCTCTTAGAGAAAACAATATATCCAATTTCTAGAGGCAACACTTCAGTCATATCATTTAAAATTACAGTACTAAGAGTTTATATTTGCAGCATCTATAATGTATTCATACACTGAAACTGTAAAACAACTGTATTCCAATCACATGATATACAGACCACAAACCTTATAAATAGTGTGTAAGCCAATCACAGCCACCTTCCTTCTCTTAGTCACCAAGATGATGTAGTATCCCTCTAGAAACCGTACAAAACCGACAATACCAAATGCCGACACTGTTCTGGAGAGACCGAACATCTGCCGCTGCCCAGACTGTGCCCGGTTACCTTCATTGATCATAGACAATAATTCTTTAATTTGCCTTTGACTGTATTCCACCTGTCAAACAAAATGGAGTTGTAAGTATCAAACTTAAACACATTACTTCCCATATTGCACTTACAGTACTGTAATTAGTGTTAATTAATGACCCTTGAAGTAATTACAATAAATTTAAAATATTTAAAAAGCCAATTATGCTATGCCTGTAATGTTTTAAATCATATTCTTATAGTTCATATATGTTTTACCAAGAATATAGACTGACTTTCTTTCACACAACTCAGTCCCAAAAGCATAATACCCCAAGTGCCGACCCCACTGTAGTCTCCCTTCACTTGTACCAGAGTGAATCCATTATTCACTCACACTCCTTACAGTGAAACCTTCATATAATGGACTTCTCTTTTCAAATAATCAATTAGATGGGGATTTATACCTAACAGACACTACATGGTCTTCCAACTTTGTATAGTCTGTTAAATGGAGGGTTTACTGTATACTGGGATTTATCAATACAGTATTAGGCAAGTAGTATTATAACACTAGAATCTTATGGACAATTTAGTTACACTGGCTGACACAGCTGTGTGATGAGCCGCAGTCTCTGCATGCAACCAACTTGTGACTCGCCCAGCCTATATTAATCAAGAGGATCCCCTTCTGCTTGGATACTGTCATGAGTGTCGTCCCAGTTAGCAGAATAAAATTGTACACTGAATGACACATTATCAGTTTAGTATCACTGAAAAACACAGATTATCAGATTAGTATGCAGTACAATAAAGAAAATCTGAAAGGCTAAGTTTGGTCATTCAAGAAGATAACAACACTCAGTTCCTTACCTTGTCATCCGTAATATTCAACGAGTGAGATTCTGTACGGTCAATTTTCAATACTCTGAACTTTGTCTGGGTGTTGTTAGAGCCGATTAGGTACAACCTCTGAAATATATCACACAATAAATATTCTCTAAAGTCAGTAATGTTCAATACTAAGAACTACAATAACTTTACCTAATACAGTGCAATGAACAAAAACCCAAAAGATAAATTTTAGTTACATTTATGAATCCTCAAGGCCAAATATTAAAAGTTTTCTTAATATGATCATCTATAACTTATCTTTTAGTTGACATATGGAGACAGAGGCTTTAGTAAGCAAGTATCTGTATTCTATGCTATAAAGGATATGAAAATTAAGTAGAGTCGAGTACAGTTATTAACCCATGTATTTGTACTAACATTGTTATTGATAAATCTTTTCAAACTAAAAGCCAAATGATAAATGGAGCATATCTGTTCACACAACACTTTCCAACTTACAGACACCTTATATCATTTTATAAACATCTTCATTATACTGATGTAATTTATGTCTACTCCGAAGAAAGGCGTTACCCCCAAGAGTAAAGATATTCATCCTACAGTGCAGCCATAACTGGTAGTGTAGTGTGCCAGGCAGGTTAATGGTGCTACAGTATACAGTCTATTTACCTTAAAAATATAGCCTGTATTGTGATAAACTGTACGGTATATGGCATTATGATGACCACAAGCTCGACACTTACCGCCTTTGTCTCGTACAATGCCATCTTCTGTAGTCCATTTATGATGGGATAAAACTGAATATTGTGTTTCGTATCCTCCATTTTGTCTTCTGGGTTTCACCATGTCTGAAGAAGTATATTATATATTAAAAAACCCAATAAACACACTTAGGGTTTAATACAAGACGTTAGCTGATCGAGTGTTCGTCAGCGGGAGGGGGAAGATTTATATCACATCTAGAGAGTTTTCCCAAGACCTTTTCACAGCTTCATTATATATTACACAATCCAAGGAAACTTCTGCAGCGGCTACATCTTAATTGTGCGTAAAACTACTTGGGTAATTATCTGTGCTGCTTATGAGAAAAAAAAGGTTCTAGAACATTATTTTCCTCACAGGACATTTAGGAACCTAGACACCCACCCTACACAAACTGTATCCAACAATTATTGTCTGAAATTACGTGTAGTACCTGACCTAACCAACCTGACCTAACCTAACCAACCTGACCACCCAAACCTTACCTAACTTATTAGACAGAAAGAACTTACAATATTTTATCTGGCACCAATGAAAACTGGTAAACATTGGTCACAGCACTGCTTCTCAACCTAACCTAACCTAACCAAACCTAAACTAAGCTACTATAATTTGCTGGATGACCAAACCGACAATAATACCCTTTATTGAAGCGGCATTATGTAATTTTACGTCTATCATTTGTTGCAGTGTCTGTTCTCTCCCTCACTTAGCCTAGAGACCATGACCACCTGTGGCTGGGTATGGCATCACGTCGTTACCTTAGTTATATATGTCACCATTAAACTTTAGACCACACAGTGAAGTAGTAAAGCCACACTACTCCTCAGTACAGTATTTTACCTTGACTCTAGAAGCCTCCCACTGAACAACATCACCTGGTAACACTCCTTCACATATGATCAACCCGACCGAGTGATCAATATAATTATTTATATTTCATACTTTCATTTACACATTTCAACGTCATTTATATTTATCTGATAATGATTTCACAATATGTATTTTTTATAAACTTTTGTTACTATAAAACAGCTCCTGTGTCTCCCTAAAACTGTGACTAAAGGAACGCATGATTTGTTTTAGAAAATATCTCGACTGTCATTATTTATAAGTTACACTTAAAATGTTTATATAAAAGCTGAACAAATATATACCGAGAGATAAATAGGTACAAAGAGAGAAAATAGAATGAACTAAGGGAGAGGGAGATCGAGAGATAAATAGACAAAGCAAAAGAGAGACAGACAGACAGAGAGAGAGAGGGGGGGATTCAAACAGTCGTTGAAACTTTTGGTGACTTTACTTTACTTTTTACTTTTATATTCTTCGCCACTGATCGGCTCGTTAGCCACTTGGGCGATCGGTCACGTCTCTGTCACGCACTGTTGGCAAATACTGGGCATGCACCGGCTCCTGAATGTACCTGAACCCGCTCCAGTGTTGGTCAAGTCTGGTCTTGAAAGAGCTCACACTCGGTGCCGTCACAACACTTTCTGGTAGATTGTTCCAAGAGTTTACAACCCTCACTCCGAAAAAGTTTGCCCTCACGGTTTTCTGGACTTGCGGCTTCTTCAATCTTGAGCTGTGACCCCTTGTGGGGCGAGCGTCCGCCAGCTCCAAGTAAGGACACTCAACTGAGTAGTGCCCCTTGAGATGCTTATACACATCAATTAGGTCGCCCCTTGCCCGTCTGTAGTATAAGCTAGGCAAGTTCAGGCGCTCCAATCTCTCAGGGTAGCTGAGGTGCTGTAGTGCAGGCACCAGTCTGGTGGCCCTCCTTTGAACATTTTCAACCAACTGACAGTCCCTAGTATATCTCGGGGATCAAATGGGGTGACAGTACTCCAGATGGGGAAGCACTTCACTCCTGAAGATCGTTACGAGGGGCGGACCGTCTAGATATCTGAACGACCTTCTTATAAGACCCAATAATTTATTTGCCTGATTTACCTTCTTCTCGCAATGGCCCGAGAACTTCAGCTCATTGTCAACATACACACCTAGGTCCTTCTCACATACAGTCTCAACTAGTGCAGTTTCTTCATCCCGTTGGGACATATGATACGCCTCCTTACCGTTGGTACGCCCCAGGTGCATCCTTTTACACTTCGTGACATTGAATCTCAGCAGCCATATCTTCGACCATTCCTGGAGTCCACAGAGGTCCTTCTGCAGCTCTTCACAGTCCGCTTGGTTCTTAATTCCCGAAATAACTTGGCGTCATCGGCAAACATTTGTATGGAGGAGTATACAACGTCAGGCATGTCATTTATGAAACAAACAAACAACAGCGGGCTCAATACACTGCCCTGTGGTACCCCACTTGTGACAGGTACAACTTTTTCGGAGTGAGGATTGTAAACTCTTGGAACAACTTTCCAGAGAGTGTTGTTGACGACACCTGAATGTGAGCTTCTTTAAGACCCCTCAGACTTGACCAACACTGGCGTAGATACACACTTGCCAACAGTGCGTAAGAGACGTGACCTACGTGGATAGTAAGAACAAACTTTATTTCCTTATTTAATTTCACTTAAAATGTTTCAAACGGAAGTGATCAAAAGAAACACGACTAGGCTAATACAAGCCACTGGCGCTAACATATTTCAATATTTCTTCGGCCTCGAACCTTTTATTTTCTCAAACAAACTTAATAATTTGATCAGTTTTTACAAGACATGAATAAAAACCACGACACATTTTACTTAAACACCCATGTTCTTTGTGTTCACTTTGTTAAACTTTCAAACCAGAATTGTCTAAACAAATATAGCAATGTCTAGCTTAAGCTGATAAGTCTTGAAATATTTATTAAATGGTTAATTCCTATTATCTTTTTTTATGAATATTGATAACGTCACTAGCAATAGTTTACGATATACACCATAAAAGATCTGTGTTAAGTCACATGGCCCTGTCAATTAATATCAGACCTCACACCAGCAGTAGTGTTAAAGCCAAAGAACAACTGCCAGTATGCAGGAGAAGGCAGTTGTGGTAAATCTTGCATATGGCAAGACCTACGGGACAGTCTACCAGCATAGCCGTGGAAGAGAAAAATAGAGGTTTTAAAACAGCCCTTTAAAAGACTATCAAGAACAATGGAAGAATCCTGCACAGGTCATTTGCTTTTTCCCCCGTCATGAGGACACTGTAGTGGATACTCTCCCCTACAACTGCCACTGCCGTTAGTTGCTGATCAGCCGGTCCAGAGTCAAGTTTCTCTGACAAGCCTCGCCGTCTAGACTCGCGGAGGGGGTGGGCACCAGCGACTCTTACTTCCGGTTTTACTTCCGGTGGACGTGTATATAAGCTCACAGCCTCGCCGTGAAAGGCCTTCATGATGGCCATTAGAACAAGCAGAGAAATAGAGATAATAAAAAACTGAAAGAAAATGGAAGATAAAAACCAATGTCCAAAAACTCAAAATAATTCACATCGCAAAAACAAACCCCTACCCTATTATTGCCAATAACTAACAAATACCATATGCTGCCAACGGAAAAATATTAGGACTTAAGATAACCAGAAACGGAATAATCCCCCACATTAATGAAAGAATAGCAATTGCAAAATCACAACTTACAAAGCTCAGAAGATTCCGCCAATTAAACACCAACACACAACTGCACCTATACAAAGCACTAATCAGACCACACTTAGAATACCCTCCGACACCTCTGAACACAATCACATGAACAAATCAACTTAAATTTCAAGCAGTGCAAAATATAGCCCTCAGAAGAGCGGCAAAACACCAACCACCATACACACAAACAGTACAAGACATACACCAGAACACGGCATAGACCCACTCAACACCAGAACACGGTATAGACCCACTCAACACCAGAATACACACCCAAGCTAATGCAATATGGGAAAAATCCAGCAAGAACAGGATCCCATATTAAACCAACTAATTGAGGAAAACAACAACACATCACACAGATGGTGGCCTAGAAGCAGGAAAACTGATAACGAAGAACCAGAGCCTCTATATACACCATAAAAAAGAACCAAAAGATGGGAACAGCTCTCCAGTCACACAAGGACCTGGAGGGACCCCACAAGCAAACAAAGACCTAAAAAGTTCACAAACACCCACAATAAAAACTAGAAAACGAAAAAGATGGGGATCATCCCTCCAGTGCCACAAGGACCTGGAGGGACCCCCCCCCCCTAACATAATATGCCCCAAGGAAACATCAAATAGAACAACTTAGTCTAGCTTGGCTGAGACCGGCCTTCTCAAACCGCAGTCCTCTAATGCAGCACTGTTGACGGAAGTCAAAAATCTCGTCTCCGCAAGGTGGATAGCCCACCTGCTGTTAACCTCCTCCTATATTTCCCACTTCTGAACTTTACCTTGTACTGTACCCTTCTTGCACCCTCAGAGCCAATGCTCTCTTCTCTCCGTATCACCGACCGACCGAAAGGCATTCTACCAAGAGCTCTGCAACACACAACACCTCCTCTAAAGAAGCTCCGGCACAGCAACTCCTCTACCACACAGCAACTTCCCAACACCAGACTGTTTTGTATAAAATATATTTATATAGAGAAAACGCCATAGCTGAGTTCCCTTCTCACCTCCATCCTGTGTGCGATCCAACATCACGAAACCCCACAGCACCCTTTACGATACTGACGTAATAGATAACCATAGAATACTTTGCTATCCGCCATTGTGGTACACCAGTAAGAACAGACCGTCTGCAGCAGTGTTTACAGGGGTTGGTGAGTGCAGAATCTTTTTAAATATATAAGTTGTTTGCACATTTAGACTCCTGTTATCAGTACTGAACGAAATTCCAAGTAACGAGTGGCTGGTGGATATCCCAAATAAATGGCTGATAATTTTATACATCTTGTGGTCATGTACAGTCGTAATGTAAAGTTACTGAAGGTGGTGAGTGTTGTGTTTTTCTGGTCAGGATCGTTAAGGAACTGACGCCTGACGGTGCACGATGGCAATTGGCAGGTAATTTGACATTCAACGCAAGAGTAGAGTATCTTTGATTCAACGGTAGCTGGTAGGATGGGCGCGCAGAATTTAACTAAATTCAACCAATATATAACTCCCGAACTAAATTTCTTACATTACTTCTATCTTTCCGCTATTCAACATAAGATAGTGGTAGACGGGTGTAGTGGTAGACGGGTGTAGTGGTAGACGGATGTAGTGGTAGACGGATGTAGTGGTAGACGGGTGTAGTGGTAGACGGGTGTAGTGGTAGACGGATGTAGTGGTAGAGTAGTGGTAGATGGGTGTGGTTGAGTATACACCCTGACCTTTACACAGTCCTGCCTCACAAGGTCATCACTCAGCCGTGCACTCAACACACACAGATCCTCAATCATCAATACATAATATCAGTATCTATACACACACCAATACATAATATCAGTATCTATACACACACCAATACATAATATCAGTATCTATACACACATCAATATACAAACTAAACTTCAGTTAATATAACAAATATTTAGTTAATATTATTGGAAACTGTTTAGATATTTATAGGAAAAATCGTGCATATTCTCTGTTGTTTTCTTTTTCATTTTTCTCTCTAAAGAGGTGAGAATTAAATTACAAATGTTTCGTTAAGTTATAACAAAACTGTAACATAATGTGGCTTTAGGTACTGAGATAAATTGTTGGAATAACTTGATCTATTTTTCCTATTGTGCAGTGTCACTTGTTTGTGAGAGGAACTTTAGGGGGAATTACTGGGGAGCTGATAATGGTTGTTTTGCTGTAAATAATAAATGCAACGTGATCATTAAAGCTTTTAGGTGCTGCTCGTGATCTAACCTAACCTAACCTAACACTACCCTAACCTAACCTAGCACTACCCTAACCTAACTTAACCAAACGCAATAGTGGTCACAATAGAGACTGAGTACTTTCCACCCCCCACCTTTTATTCATATATTGTTCATGGTATGGGAAGGGGCGTGCGTATTGTTCATGAGATGGTGAACTTTGTACAGT